TAATTTTCACAAAAAATTTTCAGGGACCATCAGGAGAGATGGGCACAGAAAAGCCCTTACCTTTCAGGAGAGAGGGTGGCCGGGTCCAGCAGCTGAGATGGGCACAGGCCTTATCTATCAGGAGAGAGGGTGGGCTGGCACCCGAAGCCCTTGGAAACTCTCTGTGGTTAAAGCACCTTCCCTGGTGCGGACGTTGGTCAGCTCTTGGAAGCAGGTAGAGCCGGGATTCCATCCCCAGTGGCAGATGAGAGGCCTGGATGACCTGCAAAGAGACCTGTGTGTGGAGGCGCAGCCAGCAGTCCTGGGCTACAGTCCACAGTCGCCCCAAGGACCGCAGGTCACCCGCCTGGGTGGCAGCCAGTAGAAGCCTTCCAAATGTCCCACACCCTTCTCTATCCTGCAGTCCCAGTCCCTGCCTGCCCATCATTCCATCATGAGGACAGGAGGAAACAGCTAAGAAAGTCCTTATTTCCGTCATGTTTGCCATTTCCTGGTCTAAGCAGAGTGTCAAGAGAGTGACAAGCTAAAAGCTGCTGATTACTGTGCCTTCAAGGCAGTGACCAGTGCCTTTCACTGGTCACTGCCTGTTCTGGGTGCCTAACCCTGTAATTAATCAGCATTGGCGGAGGTTGACAGGGGACCAGAAGAAGCTGGGGGTAGGTTTGTGTAATTAAAGGGACAGGCACTCTCCTCCCTCAGCGGTATGGTAGGTGGGTCTGAGGGTGGAGGCGGCAGGGACCGAGATAGAGTCACCAGGAAATCAGTTGGGGTGTTTTGATTTCAAACCCAGTCTGTCGGTCTGTGGCTAGGGTCTGCTCTTCCCCATGCCCCCACATCCTATGCTAACCCTTCTGAGTTATCATTCAATCCAACTGAACAGCCTGCCCTCTGGGGGCCTACATGTTGAACAGCTGAGGCTGATGGAGACACACACACAGAGCCATTTAATCCGTCCAGCAGCGGGGACTGTTTGCAGAAGAGATTTCATTTATTTTACTCCCAGTCTCCAGGAGGCTTGGCGGGAATAAACGCTTCCTCTGGGTAGGCTGGTCAATTCTGCAGCTTGTTTCCAAGCGTGTCTTAAACATGTGGTATCATAGGAATAAGGACCGTGGGAAGCCTGGTTCCAGCTCACACTTTCCATTTTATTGATTTTGTGGGCACTTGTAGCATCAGGCACACCACAATCTGGACTGGGGTTTCTGGCATTCCTGGGGCTCATCCTGCCCTGGTGGGGCCCCCTTTGTCACTGGGGCTGTTTTCTAGGTTCCAGCGCGCTGCCGGCCAGGGCTCAGAAGGAGGCTTGGAGCTGAGATCTGGACTTCCCGGGCGGGCAGCAGTGCCCTCCTCGGAGGCAGTCATGTGCCCCGACCTCTAGCTGGCCAGGGTGGGGAAGCTGGGCCTTGATCTTCCGACCTGTTAGCCCCAGAGGATCAGTCAATTAATCCACTAAAGCTTGGTTGTTTTTATCTGACTCGGAACACTGTTGCCCCACCAGTCCCCTTTGTGTCCCCTGGGGGCTGAGAGACCAGACAAGACTAAAACCCACAGAGGGGTCAGAGGGGAGGGTCTGGCAATTAACCCTGCATCCTGAGTAGGGCGGAGTCAGGGGTCAGTGGGGGCGGGGCGGGGCTGCCCACCAGCTGCCACGCCCAGGAGGAGGTCTCCCGGGACACCCACAGGTGGGATTCCAGGCAGGCCAGGGCTCGGGAGGAGCTGGGGAGAGGGGCCTCTGAGCAGCTCTTTCACTTCCCCGCACAGCAAGGTAAGGCCCATCCTGCTCCTGCCCAGGCCTCTTCTGGGGTCGGACCCCTGCCCCCCACCCCGTCTGAAGCAGCAGCTGATTCCCTCCCCTGCTGTCCCTCCTCCCTCCACTCCACTTTCCGAGGAGAATAACCTGTGATAATTTTTTCTTCTTCTTTCTGGCAACTAATGGACTCCTTAAATAGCAAAAATTGCGGCCTGTAATTAAGATCTTGCTTTTTAAATGATTAATCACTGTAGCCCCTTTGAGCGGCATCCCACTTCCCACTCTCCTCACATTGAAATGCAGCTCCTCAGCGAGGGAGGAGGCGCTCCCAAGCCACTGAGGAGCAATTAAACCTTCCCAGCTGTCACTAGCCCGCCTCGCTGCCTCCCGGCCTGTCCAGACGCCTTGGAGGGAGAGCGCAGGGCCCCTGCTCCCCAGCGGCGCCAGACTCACCAGCAGCCTAGCCGGGAGGCACCGGGCTGGTCCGCCTCCGAGCCCGACCCTGGCTTGCCCTTGCCTAGCGCCCAGAAGCCAGCTTTCAGACACTCCCAGGAAGCCAGGTCCTGTTTGCTGAGCACTTGCTCAGTACCAACACTGTAGTCGAAACATCTCATTCAATTTTCACAATAGGCACCTGACAGAAATGTGAAGTCACCCATTTCTACAAAGGGGCAAGGAGAGGCACAAATTCACAAAATCCAGAAGTGGTCACATCAGGATTTCAAAAAAGGACAGGCTGATTGAAAACCTAGCCTTCACGTCGTTGGCAGGAAGTCATGGGAGACCCCACTGAACACACACACACACACACACACCACACATGCGCACACACACACAACAGTCTTCACCAACTTGCAAAGGGCTTTCTGGGTTGATCGCTTTGAAGCCTGTCTTGCGAACAGGTGCCATCATTTGCCAGCCCGTGGAATGTTTCCAAGCCTTCTTCCGTTGAGGTGTATGCGCAATGACAGCACGATTCAGGGTGGCAGGTCATTGGAGCTAGAAGGAAACTTGGAATCCCCGGAGCCCATACACCTTTTTACTCAAGAGGACACTGGAGCCTGAATGTCAAGAGACTTGACTGACATCATAGGTCACATTTTCAGCATTCAGCAGGTGCCGGCTTCATAGTAGGCGCTGGTGGATCTGTGGACTAGTAAACATGGAAACATGTACTTCTTCCTTTAGGGTTCTACTGTTGCATTTTTCAGAAGGGATTTTTGTGTATTTGTGTGGTGGTGGCAGGCGGTTGGGGGCAAAGGGGCTCCATCCATACTGACTGTTTCAGAGAAAAGGGGCAGGAGAGAAAGGGAGGCAGACACAAGCATGAACAGGGCTGCTGTGTGTGTTGTGGAGGCCCCTGGGCTAGGAACACTGGAAAGGCCCTTCGCTGCTGGCTAAGCCAAGATGCATGCATGGCTTAGTGTGGGCCTGGACCAGGGCTGGAGGAAGGGGAAAGCCAGCTTGCTGCAAAAGAAAATCTCCTGATCTCCAGCGGGGAGCTGATTCTGAGGGAAACCCAGGCCTAAATAGTCAGTAACCCACCTGGTTAAGACCTTAATAATAGCCTGTGGTCTGGAGGTGGCACCTGCTGCCCATAGGGCAATGTGGCAAGACTGGCAACATCACGAATGCACATAAGCTCTGGCCCAGCAAGCCCCATCTTGGGACTGTATCCTACAGGCACACTCGCACTGTGAGAGTGCAAGACGATTTGTTGCAACTTCATTTGTGAAAAAGGTTGGAAACCACCCAAATGAGCCTCCAGAGAGGATGAGTTTGGGTAAAACCATGTAGCTGAGTAAGAGAATGAGAACAACCTCCTTGCTCTGATAAAGGTCGAAAAGATCCCGTGATTCTCTACCATAAAGAAAAACGGCATGACCCAGTGCACTATGCCACCTTTGTGTGAAAATACGAGTCACATTTGCATTGTCACGCATTCTTCTTTGTCCATGTTTATCTACAAAGAAGCTCTGGAAGGATACATAAGAAACTAATAACAGTGATTATCTTGTAGGGAGTGGTGAGAACTGAGCAGACGGGTGACAAGGCTGCAAAGGAGACTTCTCACCACAAAACTTTTTTTTGTACTAGATGAAAGTATTAGCTTTTCAATGCCTGTAACCCCAGCACTTTGGGAGGCTGAGGCAGATTGGATTACCTGAGGTCAGGAGTTCGAGACTAGCCTGGCCAACATGGTGAAACCCCATCTATACTAAAAATACAAAAATTAGCTGGGCATGGTGGTGGCCACCTGTAATCCCAGCTACTCAGGAGGCTGAGGCAGGAATTGCTTGAACCTGGGAAGCGGAGGTTGCAGTGAGCCAAGATTGCATCATTGCACTCCAGCCTAGGTGATAAGAGTGAAACTCCGTCTCAAAAAAAGAAGTATTAGCTATTCAAAAAACGAATCTGAATGATCTTATACATCTTATTGATCTGGTATAGGCTTACTTAAAAGCCCCTACAAATCACCAACCCCCAGCAGAAGATTCCCATTCTCGTAGGTGTACCTGCCCACCCCACTGGGTACACACTATCACAGGAGGTGCGTGTACTGAGACAACACCACTTGTGGCCTGGCCGCATGAGTGTCCAGGGCTGAAGGCCATGCTGGGCCTTCTCTTCCCTTTCCTTCCTCCGGGGCATCCAGCCTTACTTAGCTGGGCTCACGTCAGGACTCACCCAATCATCCAGACATGGCTGTGGCCCCCCTTTGCCTTGCACCTCCAGAGGGTCAGGCAGGTTGAAGGTCTCTGCCCCAGCCATATGTGTCTGTGGCACGTGCACATTCACAATCACATACACGCAGTCTCGCACACAACATGCACTTGTAGGCACGCAGGCACACCTGGCACACGCAGGCCTGGGTCTTCCTCACATTACAGATGCCTCAGCCACAGGCAGGAGCAGGGCACAGACAGGCCTGAATGACTCCCAGGAGAGGAGGAGCTGGAGGAAAGGAGGGAGCTCCCCATCCCTGAGCTTCCCACCCTGGGCTCCTCCATCCCTGGGCTCCTCCATCCCTGGGCTCCCCTCCCTGGGCTCCTCCAACCCTGGGCTCCTCCAACCCTGGGTTCCCCTCCCTGGGCTCTTCCATCCCTGGGCTCCCCTTCATGGGCTCCTCCAACCCTGGGCTCCCCTCCTTGGGCTCTTCCAACCCTAGGCTCCCCTCCCTGGGCTCCTCCAACCCTGGGCTCCCCTCCTTGGGCTCTTCCAACCCTAGGCTCCCCTCCCTGGGCTCCTCCAACCCTGGGCTCCCCTCCTTGGGCTCTTCCAACCCTGGGTTCCCCTCCATGGGCTCCTCCAACCCTGGGCTCCCCTTCCTGGGCTCTTCCATCTCTGGGCTCCCTGTCCTTGGACTCCTCCATCCCTGGGCTCCTCCATCCCTGGACAGCCCCCTCCCTGGCTGCCCCCCCCCCCAGCCATCACCTGACGCAGTCCTGGTCCAAAGCAGGCGCTGAGGCTCCACATTCCCAGGGCTTTGGGGAGTGGGGCGCACAAGAGCTCAGGAGGCCACCCTGGGTTGGAACCCTAGCCCTGCTGCCTGCCCCGGTGTGCCAGGGCCTGCAAGTCTAGAAACCGAGGCACAGGAAAGTAAGTGACTCGCTGAATTCCCCCAGCCGGTGAGCAGTGGGGCCGGGATTATATCCATGCCGGCTGGCTGGAGGCCGTGGTCCTCCTCACGCTGCTGGCTGCCTCTGAGTCCTGTGGATCATGGGGCTTCCTCTCAGCTTTCTGGGGCCTTCTACCTCATCTAAGATGGGGTGAGAAACGGGGGCTTAGGAAGCAAGAAGGTTATTATCAGGGCCCTTTCTCCTCCATACCCCCGTAAAAGGTGACTCACTGGCTTCTGCTCAGGGCCTGACACATGCTGAGCAAAGGGTCATTGGCCTGGTCCTGCTGGGCTCGTTTCAGGACAAGTGCCCCTGGGTGCATGGGGTTCCTCAGGAAATGCATTTGCTCCCAAACACCACTCAGGGATCAGGTTTCCTGGGGCAAGGGCAACCCAGAGACCACCGCCATTGAGAAAGGGGCAGCCCAGCTCCATGCCCTGAACCAGTGCCGTCCTGGGTCCTCATGCGCATCATGGCCCTGTCACCTGCTCCCAAGGTGGCTCTCAGTGGCACAACCTCTTCTGTCACCCTGAAAGTGCAAGGCCGGGGAGACTGTCAGGTAGAATTGTTTCCGGCTGCAAGTAATTGATGGGCAGGGACTTATGCAAATGCAGCCTTATTCATCTATCACAGCAAGAGGGTGGGGAGCCAGGATTGGGCCTGGGACTCAGTGATGTCGAGGAATGGGCTCAGCTTTTCTGGTAGCCATGGGACTTGAGTCTGAGGCTTTCTTTTTGACTGTCCCCTTACAACACATTACACCAGCCCGTCAGGGAAAAGAACCAGTGAACCCTGATTTGTTAAATCTAGGAACAACTTCAGCATGAACGAAGGCCCTGGGGAGGGCGCCTGGGTAATACAGGGGATTCATGTGGCTCCCAGTTGGCACCTCCCCACCATCCCGGCCTGGAGGAGACGGAAAGGGAGGTCAGTGGCTCTTTAGTCTCCCCACCCCCTCCCACATTCCAGGACACCTCCTGGAGCCACACTGTGCACTGGGCCGGCCCAGCCCAGCCCGTTCCCATCCTCCCTGGGTGTGATGAATGCTAGGGCTGCTTACAAAGTCACAAATTAGGTTGCCAAAGGCATCCCCGGTTTGGCCTGGAAATACCTCCCAGCTGAAAGGAGGCGCGTCTGGGCTGAGCAGACGTCTTTATTCAGCTGTAATTGATGTTTCACAGACGTCTGTAACTCCGTCTGGAGGGACACAAAGCGCCCCCATGCTTGGCCCGGGCAGCCGCTTTATGTCGCCCCTTTTCATCTGGCAGTCAAAAGTGTAGGAGCCGCCTGGGCTCTCCTGCTTGGTCCCTGGGCTAGGACAAAGGCGGGTGCTGCAGATAGAGGCCACCCGGTGGGCCTTTACCTCCTGGAGTGCTCTATGCTAATCTAGCGCCAGCCCAGACCCCTCCTGCATGTTGATGGACTGCAGGGATGGCAGCTGAAACGGGCAGAGCCCTGGCTTACCGGGAAAGGGGGTGTCTCCCAGCAGTCAGATGGAGCCAGTGGGTGCACCTGAACCCAGACTCAGTTGGCTGAGATGGAAGGTGAAGGGCCTGGTATTGAAGCAGGGGTTCTCAGCCCGGGACCCAAGGCCCCAGGGGAGGGACATGCGAGCCTCCAAAGTCACAGGCATATCTATGCACAGGTTTCTTTCTCTAGGAAGAAGCTCAATAGCTTTCATCAGATGCTCAAAAAGGTAAGTCCTACCAGGCACAGTGGCTCACAGCTGTAACCCTGGGGCTTTGGGAGGCTGAGGTGGGGACTTGCCTGAGCCCAGGAGTTCAAAACTAGTCTGGGCAACGTACTGAGACCTCATCTCTTAAATTTTTTTCTTAAATTAACCAGGTGTTGTGGTGCACATCTGTAGCCCCAGCTACTGAGGCTGAGGCGAGATGATCCCTTGAGCCCAGAAGTTTGAGATTACAGTGAGCTGTGATCATGCCACTGCCACTGCACTCCAGCCTGGGTGACAGAGTGAGACCCTGTCTCTAAAAGAAAAAATAGAAGAGGTCATTCCTGCTGCTGGGCTCAACCAAACTCCCATTTTACAGATTAGAAAGCGGAGGCCCAGGAAGCAGGGACGTCTCGTCCAATGTCACAGGATTAGTAGGTGGTAGCCCTTGGGTCTTTACCCCTGCTCAGAGACTCTGGTCTGCCAGAGACCACACGGTTGGGAGCTGAGAGAGGTCAGGCAGGTTACCGTAGGGGGCATCCAAGTTCCCCGAGGAGGGGCTGGGGAGACAGGGATGTGCAATGATCTACCAGGGTAAGCCCAGTGGGGCCAGACTCTCAGGGGGAAACAGACTTTTAAAAAGCGGGAAGTTTTCCAATTAAAGAATGCTGATTCATAGCCCGCAGAGTGCAGAGTTTGAGGCTTTTGGTTTTTGCCTCACTGAATTCCTCCTCTTGTTCTGCAGGCAACAGAAGCTCCAACATGGCCACATGAATTCAGATTCTCCCTCTGAGCCCCTTGCCCTGAAGCCAGAAGAGGGCTGCAGCGAGGAGCTGGTGCCCAGAAACCGTTGCCAGTCCTCCGTGGTGCCTGGAGCAGGTCTGCAGCTTGCGGGCTGTGTGGCTTCTGCTTTTGGTTGACAATCCCAACGGAGATGCCCATCTCCAGCGACTGCAATTCCTCCCCTTTCCTGAGCCCTGCTATTTCCCAGGCTGGAGGTACTAAGTGACAGGTTAATGGCAGGCTGTGCTGGCCCCGCAGGGTGCCCTGACCTTCCTTCTGGGTTTGGCATGATCCTACAGCGTCCTCCAGAGAGGGCAAGAGGAGACCAGAGTGGGAAAGACAGAAAAAGAGAGAGCCACAGAGAGAACAAAAAGAGAGAGAGAAGGAGGGAAGGGAGACAAGGGAGCAGAGAGGAAGAGAGAAAGGAGGAGAGAAAGAGGAAGAATCAGATGAGTATAGAGAGAGAGAAAGAGGGAGGATCAGAAAGAGACAGGAAATGGGGCTGCCTGGAGAGAGATGGGAGAGAGACTCAGAGAGACGGAGACAGAGCCCAGACAGGAAAGAGGCCAAGAGGAGAGGAGGTGAGAGGAGAGGAGGTGAGAAGGCAGGGAGCTCAGAGCTCCAGATGTGGGTGGTGCCCTTGGGGGCGGGACATGGGAGGGGGTGGAGGGGTGTCTCTGTGGTTCTCAGGCTCTAAGCGTGAGAATCAGCGCCCTCCCAGACCATTTGCTCTTCGCCATGATGCCTGGGCCACGCGCACCTGCATCTGAAGCCCAGATGAAGCCAGAGCTACCCCGTGCAGGGCCCACGATGCAGACTTCCAGAACTCACCTGCTCTAGACCACGCTCTGAAAGGCAGAAGCGGAGCTCATGCTGAGATCCAGGGAGGAGCTGCAGACGTGAGACCCCACTTGCACATCAAAGGAGTTTACATTTATTTGGGAACAGGTGAGACACAATTTTTCAAATTCTTAAAATTAAAGAAATGTTATTAGTTTTTAGGGTAACAGCCCAGGAGGGGGTCAAGTGAAATATAAAATTCCCCTTCCCTACAGTACCCTCAAATACAGTCTAGGGGATGGGATTTAAAATACTGGGGCTCCCCATCCTTCCCTTACCTCGGTGAATGGGACTGGGGCTACTGGTTGGCATCATGCCATGGTTCCATCTCTTAGGAACATGAGAAATGCCAGGTCCTTAATGACACAGCTTTTCACAAGTCCCCACACAGATAAATGCGTGCATGCGTGCGTGGGCTCACCTGTGCGCACACACAGACACACACACACAATTTATGCTCCAAGTGCAGCCCCTGGTGTATCCAGGCCCTCCACTAAGTGACCTTTCATTACACCTGGGGGTAACAGCCAACTGTAGAGAGGCTGGAACACGTATCAGGCACTGGTGTGCTGCTCCTAACTACGGCCTTTGGGACACTTCACTGTCTTGTTCTCAGCAACTCAGGTGGGGGCATTTCAGGCACAAGAGAAAGATAAACAAAACTCGGCCAATAGGGGAGATGTCTGGGGGGAAAGATGAGCAGATAGGCCAGACTCATTCCTTTGTGTTACAATGATTGAGTCCTTCTCCTGGCATTTATAGTGGTGTTTATCTTGTATGCATTTAATTGATAGGCATGTAACAATTCTCACTCAAGATGTTTTTAATTAAAAATACTGTGCAAGTCCAGTTGGATATGCACTCTTTCTTGCATACGACACATTATATATCTGTGATACATTTATACATGCATATTACCGTGAACACTTGTGTATACAATACTATGTATACTGTCTGTGATACATTTATACATGCATATTACTGTAAAGATTTGTCTTTTCAATACTATGTATACTGACTTGCTGGGCAACTTAAAGAGTAATCTTTGTTTTTGAGACGGAGTATCATTCTGTCACCCAGGCTGTAGTGCAGTGGTGTGAACTTGGCTCACTGCAACCTCCACTTTCCGGGTTCAAGCAGTTCTCCTGCCTTACCCTCCCGAGGAGCTGGGATTACAAGCACACACCACCATGCCCAGGTAGGAGAGATGGGGTTTCACCATGTTAGTCAGGCTGGTCTTGAACTCCTGACCTGGTGATCTGCCTGCCTCAGCCTCCCAAAGTGCTGGGATTACAGGTGTGAGCCACCTTGCCCAGCCTTTTTTTTTTTTTTTTTTTGAGATGGAGTCTCACTCTGTTGCCCAGGCTGGAGTGCAGTGGCACAATCTGGGCTCACTGCAACCTCCACCTCCCGAATTCAAGGATTCTCCTGCCTCAGCCTCTCAAGTAGCTGGGACTACAGACATGTGCCATGACACCTGGCTATTTTTGTATTTTTAGTAGACGGGGTTTCGCCTTGTTGGCCAGGTTGGTCTTGAACTCCTGCTTCAAGTGATCTGCCGGCCTCGGCCTCCTGAAGCGCTGAGATTCCTGGCATGAGCCACTGCACCCGGCCACAGGTTAGCCCAGTCCTGTTAATAGCACCAGTCCCAGCCTCTGGGGGGGGGTTCTGGGTGGTTTCAATAATTCATAGATGTCCCGGTCCCCAGACCTGTGAGTTGTTTAGGCATTGGCCATTGGCACAGTCACCTACTGCAGCTGAACAAACTACTTCAAAACTTAAAACAGCAGCGTTTATTTTGCTCAACACATCTGTAACTGGGGCAGGAATCAGTGGGGACAGCTTCTCTCTGCCATATGGTATCAGCTGGGTCAAGCTGACTAGGACTTAAGGAGCCATTTCCAGGAGGGCTCACTCACGCGGCTGGCAAGGTGTGCCAGCTGCAGACTGGTCACTCAGCCTAGGCTGGGGCCAGGGGACTCCTGCTTGGCTGGGTTCCAAGAGTGAGTGTCCCAAGAGAAAAGAAGTGGAAACAGTTTTTACAGTCTAGGCCCTAAGAAACTGGCAGTGTCACTTTTGTCCTAGTCTGTCGATCAGGCAGGAGCTTGACCCACTGAGCTCAGATTCAAGGGAGGGGATAGACCTCGCTCTCAAAGGGAGGGGCATCAGATAATTCAAGGGCGACGTTTTAAAACTGTCATAGCCAAGAGAACATGGGGAGAAGTCTATTGGGGGATTTCTGGGAAAGGTTTCTTTGCTCTCAAAAAGAGACATAAGCGTAACTGAGTAACAGTTCAGAGTCCAACATAAGAAATGAGACAATCCCAAGAAAAACAAGAAGATCATACACTTGACCCTTCATGATTATGTTCCTAATTGCATAAAATTCAGGGATAAGAGAAGACCGTTATAGTATCTTCTACAATTGTTACATTTGGGATAATAAGAAAGCATATCGAAATTACGTATAATTGTATGACTTATACTTTAAAAATCCTGTAGGATCTCAATATTTGATGGGAAAACTCAATATTGTCAAGATGTCAATCCTTCCCAAATTAAAGCACATATTCAATGTAATCCCACTGAGATTGGAATTTACAAGCAGACTCACTCATCTGGAAGAGCCAACGTGAAAAATTAACCAAGAATATTTTAAGAGAGAAGAGATGTTCTTACAGGATGCAAAAGCACACAAAAAAGGCTCTATGGTAGCACAGATAACAAGAAATTGGAAACAACCTGAATGTCACCAGGGCAATAGTTAAATAAATTAGAGTAGGGGGCCGGCATGGTGGTGCACACCTGTAATCCCAACAATTTGGAAGGCTGAGGCAGGAAGATCTCTTGAGGCCAGGAGTTTGAGAACAGCCTGGGCAAATAATGAGACCCCTGTCTCTATTATTAAAAAATTAGCTGAGTGTGGTGGTGTGCACCTGTAGTCCAGCTACTCAGGCTGAGGTGGGAAGATCTTCTGTGCCCAAGCATTTGAGGTTGTGGAGAGCTATGATTATGCCACTGCACTCCAGCCTAGGCAACAGAGCTCTTGCTCCATCTCAAAAAATATAAATAAATAAGTAAATTGGAGCCGTGGATATCAAACTTGAGCATACATCAGGATCACCCAGAGGCCTGCTAAAACACAGATGGACAGGCCCATTCCCAGTGCTTCAGAGTCAGCAGGTTGGGAGGCATTCATTCAAGTGTTTCTAGCAAGTCGGTTCCCAGATGATGGTGATGTTGATGGTCCAGACCACACTTGAGAACCACTGAATTAGAGAATGATCTAAAACAGATTGAAACACAGGTGTGTGTTGGGGGGGGAGAAACTGCAACTTAACACCACTTTTCAAAAAGAAAAAAAGACTCTAGAACTAAAATGAAACAAATTTACATACATACATATGTAAATACATATACATACATATATATGTATGTATATATAATTTCACTTAAAAACATGCCTGAAAAGCAGAAAGGACATGAAAGGAAGAGATGGTTATTCCTCTTCCACTAAGCACTGAGGTCTGCCCGTGATGCCCAGAAGTGCTGGGCCACCTTTATATTCACCTCAGGTTGAAGCCAATAATAGCAAGAGGTGTGAGCCATTAAGACTCACAGGAAAGCAGAACTGAATGGACTCATGAGCCTGAAAGGCCCTGGGGAGATTCTTACATGAATTCATAAATCCTTTTATGATTTAAGCCATTGAATTGGGGTCTTCCATCATTTATAGCCAGAACTGTCTAACTCATGCAGTAGTGGTTACATAGGATTGTTTGTAAAGATCAAATAAGGTCACATAAGTGAAAGGTCTTTGGGGACCTTGACACATAGTAAGATTCTCACCTCCAGCCACCATTTACTGTACTTATTCTGGAAAAACCTTCTGAGCTGGGCCGTATGGGGACATTATGTGGAAGCTGGCAGATGCACTGACCTCCAGCAGCTCAGGGAATACAAGGGGAGCCAGGACAAGCAAAAAGAGGAATTTAACGGCTCATGCACCTGGGAAATTTAGGGCTGGCCTGGCCTCAAGTGTGGCAGTCCCTGCTACTCAGATAATGCCAGCCAGCCTCTTTTTCAACGTGTCTCAGGACTCCTCTGTTTGAGCCAGTTTTGTTCTTTCCTGCTGTGCGGTTTCCTCCATGCGGTAGGAGAACATGGATTTCACAAGCATAAACTGACATCATACCATCTGAGCAAGCCGAGAGCAAAGACAAGGCTTTTTCTCTGCCTTTGTTTACAAAATCCCAGGGAAGAAGGCTGACTGGCCCAGCTTTGGCAGGTGCCCTTATCTGTGCCAACCTCTGTGGTCAGAGGGATGGGATACCATGCTTAGCCAGACAAATGTGTGATATGTGATATGTTTACATACATCATTTATGACAGCTAGATATAGATATCTGCAGAACAATATTGCCACAAACTCAGAGGCAGACAATGCACATATGTACTGTCTCAGTTTCTGTAGGTCAAGAATCCTGGAATGGCTGAGCTGGGCCCTCTGCAAGCCTGCAATCAAGGTGTGGGTCAGGACTGGGTCCTCATCTGGAAGCCTGACTGAGTAAGGATCTACTTCCAAACTCATACAGCTCTTCGCAGAATTCAGTTCCTCGCATTTACAAGACTCGGGGTTCATTTTCTTGCTGGCTGTCTGCTGCCCTCAGTTTTAGAGGTCACTCTCAGTTGGGCCTCAAATGACCACCTGCTTCAAAGCCAGCAAGTCTTGTGTGAAATGCTCCAGCAAGATAGGTGCTACACTCTTACCTGATGATTTAATCACCTAACCATGTACACAGAATCACCGGCATCCCATCACCTTTACTGTATTCTACGGATTAGAAGCAAGTTCCAGGTCTGGCCAAACAAAAAGGAGATAAGGTTATACAAGGGCAAGAATACCAGAAAGTGGGGACATCTATTTATTTATTTATTTATTTTGAGACAGAGTCTTGCTCTGTTGCCAGGCTGGAGTGCAGTGGTGCAATCTTGTCTTACTGCAACCTCTGCCTCCAGGGTTCAAGCGATTCTCCTGCCTCAGCCTCCCAAGTAGCTGGGATCACAGGCACCTGCCACCATGCCTGGCTAATTTTTTGTATTTTTAGTAGAGATGGGGTTTCACCATGTTGACCAGGATGGTCTTGATCTCTTGACCTCATGATCTGCTCACCTCAGCCTCCCAAAGTGCTGGGATTAGGCCACCACCGCCTATTTTTTTTTTTTATAGCTACATATTCATAGTTAGCATATATTGCCCATTTGCTATGTGCTGATTATCCCCCTTAACACTCACAACTCACTCAGATAGATGTTATTTTCCACATTTTACAGATAAGGAAACTGATGCTCAAAGAAGTGAGGTGACCTGCCCAAGATCAAATGTGGAATTACTGGCAAAGATGGATTTCAATCTAAGTCTATCTGACTACAATACATTTCCTCTTTTCCTTATATCAAGATGCTAATGAGGCTGTGCATGGTGGCTCATGCCTGTAATCCTAGCATTCTGGGAGGCCGAGGTGAGCGGATCATTTGAGGTCAGAAGTTTCAGACCAGCCTGGCCAACATGGTGAAACCCTGTCTCTACTTAAAAAAAAAAAAAAAAAAAAAAGCAAAAATTAGCCTGGCATGGTGGTGTGCACCTGTAATACTAGCTATTCAGGAGGCTGAGGACGAGACTTGCTTGAACCTAGGTGGCGGAAGTTGCAGTGAGTCGAGATCATGCCACTGCTCTCCAGCCTGGGTGACAGAGTGAGACTCCATCTCAAAAAAAAAAGTGCTAATTAATAAACCCTCTTGGGTGCTGTTTAGTAAAGCCAGCTATCTCTTGGCTTGGACACAACTGCATGCTTTCCTCACTTTGTGTCCCTGTATCTGATACTCTGGGCCCTTCCCCCGTGACATTTGTGTCATTGAGACCAAGTAAATAGCTATTAGTTATGTCCTTCCCCTGAGCCTATATTTTTCTTTCCTTTGCTCCCTTTGGGTAGTCCACTCTGTGCTCACTGCCACCCTGTTGGAATGGGGCGGTCCAGGAAATACAGGTCCATCACCCACCTTCCTGGCTTCTGCTTCTCAGTGCCCAAGTCCCTAGAAAAATTCAGAGTTGTGAGCAAAGACAAAATATCTTGAAGAAGCAGAGAAAGGAGGGGATTCTCCTTTCTCCAACATCCTTGGAATAGAGAAAAACTCTCCCAGGCTGGGGAGAGAAGAAAGGGGTGACAGAATTATTGGGTGTTATTTCCTTAATTTATAGACTGAGATTCACAAATGCTCACAACTTTAAGGTGTGTTTCCACCCCACACCCCCTTCTCTCAGCCCTTCCTATCCCTCCTACAATGGGTTGTATATTTGTCAGGGTATCAGTCTGGTTGCTGCATCGAAAGACCCAAAAGAATAGGGCTTAAACACAAATTTATTTCTCTTACATAAAAATCTAGGTGGATGGCCGAATGCTGGAATGGTGGCCCCATAATTACTGGGGACCCAGACGCTTTCTGTTTTGTTGCTCTGCCTTTGTTAACATGCAACTTCAACTTCATCTGCACCTCGGGGGGAAGGAAGAGAAAAGGGATCCTTCCCGGAGCCTGACTTAGGAAGTTATGTAGTCCACTTCCACTCATTGGCCAGAATTTGGTCATGTGACCACATGCTATCTGCAAAGGAGCCTGGGAAATGTAGTTTTATAGTGAGAGGCTACACGCCCCTTTATTCTACAAATAGTTATGAAGGGTAAAATAGACATAGTGGGACAATTAGCAGTCTCTGTCAGTGGTCCTATGTGATCCAGCCCTGTGGCCTTAGCTCTGTTTCTTTGTTCAGGAGAGTCTCAGGCATAAAAGCTTTTAATACGGTGGCTTTGCATCTGTCAGTGCCTTCAGAAAACAAGTAAGGAGAGGACTGGAGCCAAAGCCCATGTCCAAAGGTATCAGCAAGCAAGGAAAGGAGGGTCAGCATAGGGGTCCTGCCAGGTGATCTGCACCCAGAGCAAGTTCCATGGGTGACAGCCTTGTCCACCCTTACTGCCTGTCATTCTGATTGCTGTGTGGTGTCCAGACCTATTCTGATTGGCTGTGTGGTGTCTGTTTATCCCCTCCCCCAACTCCAAGAACAACTTTCCAACTTTTTATTGGCATGTGAGGTGGCAGGGGGTTTGTCGGCTAAGGAAAAATTCTCTAGGTAGCATCTAGGTCTTCTACTCTTCTAGCCATGCTCAAATAGGGAACAATGCAGCAGGTGGCAGGTTTAGGTCCTGTAAGTCCTGCAACAGAATTAATTCCCAAGCCCCTTAGTATGTCCATTGTCTTCATTCACACACCTGCCACCCACATTCACAGCCTGCATGTCGCTGACCTGGGTCAGTCCCAGAAAAGCCTCGTGAGTGTTCATAGATGGTATTTCTGCTTGCTAACCTCTACCTCATTCTCTCAGTATAGCCAAAGGGCATATATGCATTAATTCTTTCACTCATTCATTCAGCAAGTAATGATCAATTCTGCAATGTGTGCAGCTCATCCCGTGGCAGATGGGATCTCTGCCCTTGTGGAACTGTGGAGACTAATCATTAGCTAATGGCACAAAGAAGTACACCATCACAGGTGCCTGTAATCCCAGCTACTGGGGCAGCTGAGGCAAGGCGAATCTCTTGAACTCAGGAGCTGGAGGTTGCAGTGAACTGAGATTGAGCCACTGCACTCCAGCCTGAGTGACAGAGTGAGACTTTGTCTCAAAAAAAAAAAAAAAAAAAAAAAGATGTGCACCATCACAGACTGGATTACTGCTATGGAGAAAAGGTACAGGGTACAAAAAAAGCATGAGTAGCAATGAACAAAATCAGTGGAATGGAACAGGGTCTGTACAACATTCTAGGCATCAGGCACAGCCTATGCAAAGGGCCTGAGGCAGAAGCGAGTGTGACTAATTCCTAGAATTAAATGAAGCAATCGAGGAAAGGAGGGTCAGCATGGGGATCCTCCTAGATAGTCTGCACCCAGAGCAAGCTCTACGGGTGACAGCCTCATCCACGCTTAGTGCCTGTCATTCTGATTGGCTGTGCAGTGCCCAGACCCTTCACTCTGGTTATCCCCTTTCCCAACTTGAAGAACAACTTTACAACTTTTTTTGGCATGTAAGGTGGCATCCCCGCAGCGAGGGGGCAGTGGAGAATGCCGTTCCTGATCCTGTCACCCCTACTGCTGAAAACCCTTCAATGACTTGTTCCCATTAGCTTTAGTACAGGTTCCACACTTGCCCTAGGTTAGGTCCCTGCCTTCCCCTCTGGCCTCCTGCCTCACCACTCCCGAGCTGGATGTTCTATTGCCTCCCAGACACTGGTCCCTCCATCTGCAATCCTTTCCCTGAGTAACTCCTCCCGGTCCTTCAGGACTTGGCGTAGACATCCTGGTCTCTGGAAAGCTAGACCGGATATTCTCCTGTTTGCCCTTTCAAATCTAAGTGCTCTCTGTAGGTTTTGCCAGGAGGGAGGGTAGTGAGGTCAGGGGCCTGCTCTGCAGTTAGCTGTGTGGTTGTGGTAAGTTACTCCACCTCTCTGTGCTTCAGTTTCTACATGAGGTAAAATGGAGATAAGAACTGCACTGACCTCATAGGATGGCTGTGAAGATAAAATGAATTAATGACATATGTAAAGTGCTGTTATTGGTCTTTAGTCTTCTGTCCTGGACTGGGTACTGTGTCATTGGTTTCAGTCCTGCCTCGCCTCACAGGGCTGGGGAACTCTAGGGTCAGAGTGCTGGGCCTTCGTGTACTCCTGCCTGCTAGTACGTGGCCCAGTGGAAGCCATATGGTAACTGCCCAACCCATTGGATTTGCTTTAAGAAGAATGAATTTCCGGCCATCATCCCACATGGAAGCAAACATGACCTCTGGCCTTTTCTCCCAGTTGGGGGATAAGGGATCCTGATCTCAGATCTCTCTCCACTCCGCGACTCCCAATGCCATCCTGCACCCCAGCCTCCCGCCAGCTGTCAATAGGGCAGATCCCAGTGTCCCTGGAATGGAACAGTGAGGGGCACTGGTGGTCAGGGAGGTGGCCTTGTGAACACCTGTGGATGGGGGCTCTTCACAGTCATAGGGAAACAGACAACCCAGGTGGGTCCAGAGGGACACGGCCAGGGTGGACAATGCCTCCAAATCTGAGAAACAGTTGTTGGGGTTCCAGACCTGGGGGAGAGAGGAGGGGTTTTTTCACGCTGAAAGGGGACTTGGGGAGGAGAGAAACCCCTTTCTGAGTAGCCCAGGAGGCAGGGAAATGCATGCACTGCAGGTTCTGTGTCCGGACTGATAACAGCCATTGTCCCTAATGACCCTTGTTACTGAGCAACGTGTCCAAGGCTCGACATTTCTGTGTGCCACCGCCCTGTGCTGACAGTGACCACAGCATACACCCCAGTGTGCTGATGGTAACTGAACCCTGACAGTGCCCCCCCGGGTCATCTTACTCTTCCACCTCCTTAATTCCTCATACAGAATTGGGGTGGGGGACAGCCAGTTCCTGTTTGCTGGTCGAAGGAAGGAATGAACCCATATGGTGGGAACAGGGCAGAAGAGGCAGAGGGATCAGATAGTGCTGGGTTCAAATCTCTCTCCTCATCTCCTAGCCCTGTGGCCTTGGGCAAGTCACTTAGCTTCTCTGAGCCTCAGTAGTCTTATCTGTGAGATGGGATACCTAGTACCTCCCTCGCTGCATTGCTGTCAGGTTCAATGATCCACTGCGTACCCAAAGGGTGGACAGTGATTGGTGCCTGCTGAGCCTTTGCTCAGTAAACAAAGCAAGAACTTTCTTCCAAGTCTCTGCTCACCCCTGAATCCATATGTGGTGTGACACCCCTTCAGGACCCCATCTTTCTGGCACCTTTGGGTTCTCTGCTGCTCCCAAACTTCAAGTCTCAGCCTGTCCCACAAGGGGACAGACACAGGGGACAGAGAGCTGCCCACCTTCACTTTGAGGGAGCCTGGAGGTTACCCCTTTTGTTCAGCCCTCCCTCTGGCGGTCCTTGCCTTCCTCCTGCAAGCTTCATCTCAGCCAGTCCAAAGGGACGTCCCAGAGAACACGCAAGCTGGAAGGTGGAAGGTGCTGGAATTGGTGGGAAAAAAGCACCACCCTGGTGAGGGTGAGTTCCTGAGGCCTGGGCACCCTGCACCCCCTGGGCCGGCCGGCTTCCTGCGGAAGGGTCTCTGGTACCTATTTTCCCAGCCAGGAGGCTGGCGGGTTCCCACATTACCACATGAATGGGGCACAGGCACCCTCCCCCCACTCGAGCAAACAATTTGGCTAGCAAATTGACATAATTACAAGAGACATCGAGGGAAGAAAAACGCCCCCCCACCCCCCTGGCCCCCCAGCGGGCTGCTCCCACCGAGTTCCTCAGGGCTTTGTGGGCCAGGGCGCTCAGGGCTGATTAGAAACCTCGTGGCCTTTTCAAGAGCCCCGAATGATTGGTCCCTTAATCTGATTACAATTTGCAGAGCCCTCCAGCCGCCTCTGAAGGGCCGTTCTCAAGCGCCCGCTAGATGATGGGCACACACACACACACACACACACACACACACAGCACCCACTTGGGCCTGTCAGGCGGCGCTCGGCCACTTTCGTCATCATGCCTCACTCCCTCAATCAGGCACCTCAGGTGCCATTCCCTGTGCCCCAAACCTCAGACACACACAGGACCTGACACTGTCCCTAATGCCTGGGGTTGCCCATCTTTAGAGGGTCCCACACAGATACAGTCCCCATGCCAGAGGCATATGTGCATTTGCCCCTGTGAGTATACTGTCTCATCTCCCACCGTCCTCCCCGCGGCCGCCCCGAGCATCCGGGGTGAGGCTTCCTGACCCCATCGAGGGCAGACTCCCTCCCCAGCAGCATTATTTCTGGGGCTCCTTGAGCTGCAGCTCCCACAGGCTTAGGCCCAGCAGGCGACCCGGACACTGCTCAGGCACAGGCTGCCCCCAGCACGGCTTCTCCCGTCTTGGGAACTCAGCTTGAAGGGGCTTCAGTCAGTGGCCTTAGCCCTCCACGTCCAATTTGTATCTCTTAATCCCTGAGGCTGAACCCCAGTGGCTCCTTTTCCTGTACTTGCTGGGGCTCTCATAGGCCCCAGCAGCTCAGAATAGGAGTGCGGTGGGGGCAACGCAGAGGCCGAGGCAGAAGGGGACAGAAGTGGGGGCTCTGCCCTTGTTAACTGCTTTGCCCGGGAGATGGAAGTTGGGTGTGTGTATGAGGATAGGGAACAGGTGCAGGGCCTTCCAGAGTGACTCCCCCAGCCTGCTGTAACTCCATCTTTTGTGCACCCCAGGCTAGAGGCCCTGGGAAGGATATTGTCTACTCAGGAACCCCATCCTTCTGCCAGATCATCCTAAATGCCTGGAGCCTGGAGCCAGAGAGCAGTGAACACAGAGCCCAGGTTCTGACACCGGAATCAGGACTGGTGACCTTGAATGAGTTACTTATCAGATCTGGGCCTCAGTTTCCCCATGTGTAAGATGGGAATGCTGCAGCCTATCTCTCTCAGGGTTGCTGGGAGGCTAAATGAGCTGAGGCACAGAAGACCCTCAGCACAGCGCCCAGCACAGTCAGCACTCCATGCCAGACTGTGTCAACCTTCACGAGCCATGAACAAGAGGGGACTTGAAGTACAATCAACAAACACACGGATGGGGTGGTCTGTGTGCACCCCGTATCCCTGTGGGTGGTCTGTGTGTGCACCCCCATATACCTATGGGATGGTCTGTGTGTACCCCTGTATCCCTGTGGGGTGATCTGTGTGCACCCCTGTATCCCTGTGGAGTGATCTCTGTGTGCACCCCGTATCCCTGTGGGGTGGTCTCTGTGCACCCCGTATCCCTGTGGGGTGGTCTGTGTGTGCACCCCGCATCCCTGTGGGGTGGCCTGTGTGTGCACCCCGTATCCCTGTGGAGTGATCTGTGTGCACACCCTGTATCTCTGTGGAGAGAAACTCAGGCCCTACAAGCTTCCTAAGGACCTTCACTTTATAGCTGGGTTTTCCAGGACGAGCTTCTCAGTTGCCAACGTTTGTCAGCTCTACCTGATCAGATGACCCCGTGCTGGTTTGGGGAACAGGGGCCGCCACTCAGCTCTCTCCCAAGGATTTGAAGCAGGAGAATGGGGTCTGAAAGCGGATATCTAAGGTGATGCATGAGGATTGAATAGCAGAGGCTACTGATTGCCAACCCCTCCATTGCCTGTGTGGTAGCTGATAAATGAAAGTACTTCTGATTGGTCCCTTCCCACAACCAATCAGACTGGTCGTGGTCCTACTCTTCGCCTCCTGCAACCAGTCAGACTGGTCGTGGGCCACTACTTCATTTGCATAGAGTGAACCAATGAGAAACCACTGATGGGTATTTAAACCCCAGAAAATTCTGTAGCTATCACTTTTGAGCTCTTACTCGAGCCTGTTTCCGTTCTATTGAGTGTACTTTTATTTAAAATACTTTTTCTGTTTATGCTGCTGTTTTGTTTGTGTGTTTTATTCAATTCTTTGTTTAAAACGCCAAGAACCTGGGCAACTCCACTTAACTGGTAACATGTTGGCAAGCCAGCCAGGAGGTAAGCCCAAAGTTTGGGATATACTTTTCTCTTTTTCTTTTCAACTCAGTACCCTCGATGGACAGCACCTGTGCACAGAGGCAACTGCAGGTTTCTGGCCAGGCCCACTGTTTCTCTGTGGAATCGCCCGACCCCCACTGCCCAGCTTGGGTGAGGGACCGAGTCCTTCTCTCCTTTAATCTTTCAGCTGCTGTCTCCCAGCAGCTGTTTAGTAACTGAGGGCAACAGGCCAGGACCACTCTCTGGTGTTACTGGAAGGCCAAGGAGGGAATGGGGACAGCTGCCTGCTGGAAAGGGAAGGACTCTTTCCTATGTTGTCCAGTTATCAATCCTGAACCCTCTGTGATGCAATTGGCAGTGGCAGCCCATCCACGTTGAACTCACACATGTTTCAGGCAACTTAAACTTTCCTTATGCTAAATTCTTCCGTTCCTCTACTCAACTGGCTAAGGACAGGTCAGAAGGCTTGGGCAGATCATTTGTGTGAGTCATGGGGGTGGAGGGGGATTCATAAAAAGGAATTTATGTAGCACTTAGTCTTGTCTAAATTTAGATAGTTAAATAATTGTTTTAAGTGGGATAGGAAAAAAGGTCCACAGGTTTGACTGAAAATTAATTTCTAGAAGTCAGGGTCTTCATCCAGGGACAAGGGGGAAGTTCATAGTTGGCCATCAGCGGTGGAGGAAACCATCCTGCAGCGGTGTCGGATCTAAGGTCAGGCGGCCAGCAGACTAAGATGGGGCCCCAAAGTGGGATGCCCTAGAACCCCAAGCAGGGCCCAGAATTTTTCCAGGGGCCTGTGTAAAATTTGAGTCACCTGCTGAGATCCCCACCTTTCACCAAAGTCCTCTTTTCCAAACCACTGTGAGCACCTCTCCATCAGTTCCACCTGATTCCCTGCCTGGCTACATCCTCCACCATTGAAGTTAAGTTGACCCTGACAATCTAAAGAGAAAAATTGTGGTTCTTTTTTCTGCAATACTGTTTGGCCCCATTATGAGCTGTCCAGCCAGGAAACAATGGGTTGTCAATGGTTGCCTTAATTATGACGCCATCCTGCAATTAGACCTATTTTGTAAAAGGCAGCACACATGGTCAGAAATCTCATACGTACAGGCCTTTGTGGCCCTATACCAAAATCAATAATCCCCCTAAAGGAAAGTTCAAAGGCAGAACGAGATACAGATGACCCCTTTTCACACAGGCCACCTGTCTCAGGGTGACAGCAACCACCCCCATATAGGCCTTTGTCAAGTGCTCCTGAGGCTAAAACCCAAACACTGGGGACACTACTAAGGCCCCTCGCACTTGAAAGGGAACAACCTATTCAACTCTCCCTCCAGCCCTGCTACCCCTTAGGAAGTAGCAGGAGCTGAGGGGCCAGTCCTAGTGCAGGCCCCCTTCTCTGTAACTGCTATGCAACAATGTAGGGAAAAGCAAGGAAGCTATCCCGAGAATCCCAGGAAATTCGCAGATGGGTTCCAAACTGTGATCTTAGCCTTTGATCTTTCATGGAGAGATGTTTAATTCATTCTAGCAACTTGTTGCTCCCCTTTTGAAAAGGAACGGATCTTTGAGGCTGTCCAAAACCTCAGGGCAATCACCCAGGCCCAGGCAGAGTCCCCACTACTGACCCTAATTGGGACTATCACACACCCATGCGAATAAACAACTGGGCTAAATTTCTTGAGGTTCTCCTTGGAGGCATGAAAAAGGGAAGAACTAAGTCAGTAAAGTATAAAGCAAGTGAGGTTACACAGGGCAAGGAGAAAAATCCAGCCATGTTTTATAGCAGGCTGAAGGAAACCTTTAAAAAATATACTATCTGGACCCTTCGTCTCCTGAAAGCAAAATATTAATAGCACAACATTTCATCAGCCAATCCTCCCCAAATATGAAAAGTAAGCTCCAAAAGCCACAGATGGGGCCACAAACTAATTATAAGCAGCTCCTTGAGACCACCTTTATGGTGTATAACAATCGTGAGCTGATGGAAGGAAAAAGGGAACAGAGTAAAGACAAATGGCAAGCCAAAGTTACGGCAGCCATCACTGGTGATGCCCCAAATGCCCAGAAAGCATCCAAGGGAAACCCGAAGGGCCACGAGGATGATGCCAGAAAGGACTCTTGCTTCAAGTGCAGGAAAGCTGGGCATCCGGCAGAGGACTGTGCTAATCCCATCTCCCCCAGGCCCCTGCGGAAAATGTAAGAACACCAATTACAACCCCTGGCACTGGAGGATTGACTGTCCCACTGAGGGGCTCTGTTAAGCAAAGCTCTAGCTGGGCACAAGGAGGAGTCAGATGAAGACTGAAGGGGCCTGGGTCTTCCTCACTGCCGCTGTCCAGGAGCACTGTAACTACTACTGGGAAGCCCCAGGTAACCTGGATGTCATGGACACCCAATTTCAGTTCCTTTTTTATACAGGGGCAAATTGCTCTGTCCTTTCTGCTCATACAGGAAAACTTTCTTCCTGCTCCACGAGTACTATGGGAATGGAAGGAAAGCCACAGACAAGATCCTTTACTCCTCCTTTGATTTGTCAATTTGATACATAAATCTTCCAACTGGGATTTCTAGCAGTTCCAAGATGCCCAGTCCCCCTGTTATACTATGGTTAAAATAGGGGCACTACTACAATGTAAGCATCACCCGGTGAAATTGCTAATATTCAAAAATACAGACAGTGCCCAGACCCCATTAATAAACAGCTTAGCCTGCTAGCGTGGTAAACTGGGAAACCAGGGAAGGCCAAAACAGCAGTGCCAGTCAGAATATGGCTTAAAGACCCCAGCCATCTTCCCAATGGGAAACAATACCCAATTAAGCTGGAAGCAAGGAAAGGCCTGGCACCCTCAGTTGGGGTATTACTTGCCCATGGGCCCTTAAGACCCTGTGATTCTCTCTGAAACACCCCCATGTTATTCTAAAGCTTTCGGGGGAACTACTGGCTCGTTCAGGATCTCAGAACAGTTAATGAGGCTGTAATCTCTGTGCACCCATTGATGGTGGATCCATATACCCTCCTGGCTCAGGGCCAGGGGATGCAAAATAGTTCTCAGTCCTATACCTGAAAGATACTTGCTGCTCCATTCCTCTGCCCCCAGAGTCCCAGTACCTTTTTGCCTTTGAGAAAATCCTAATACCAGAGAAAAACAGCAATACACTTGGCCAGCGCTCCCCCAGGGCTTTCAGGATGGCCCCCACTTGTTTGCCCGAGCCTTAGAGAGGGATCTGAGCGTCTGCAATGGGAGGACAGGAGCACATGGCAGTATGTGGATGATCTTCTCATGTGTAGCCCAATCCAAGAGGCTTCTGACCTAAACACTATAAAAACCTTATATTTCTTGGCTGACAGGTGATACAAAGTGTCCAAAAGAAGGCTCAGGTCACCCTCCAACAGCTCCACTATCTAGGGTATGTCTTGACCCCTGGAACCTGATAAACATCCTCAGAATGAGTGCAAGCCATCTGTGTTTGCCCTCTACCCCCACCCCACCAAGCAGCAGCTTCCTTCTTTCTGGGGAATGGCCAGATTTTGTGGAATATGGGTACCAAATTTAGGGGCTCATAGCAAAGCCCCTATTAAACAACAAAGAGGCCTGAAAATGAGCGAATGAAGGGACCTGGAAATGACAGAATTCTTTGCCAAGCTAAAATAGGCCCTTACCCAGGCTCCAGCTCTTGGTACCCCAGACCTAACTAAGCCCTTCCCTTGTATGTAGCAGAGAATAAGGGCATAGCTGTGGGAGTGCTGCCTAGCCCAGAAATTCAGATCAGAACACAGACCAAATGCTACTTTTCAAAGTTGGAGAGTGGCCTCAGGATGGCCAGGTTGCCTGAGGAGAACAGCAGCCACCACTAGGTTAGTGGAGGAAGCCGCTAAAACACCCTGGGCCAACGACTATAAGTTCTAACCCCTCCATCAGGTAAAGTCAGTCTTAGAGATAAAGGGACACATTTGGATGATGGGGGAAATGTTAACCAAATGCCAGGCCATGCTCCTAGACAATCCGGATGTAACCCTTAAAACCTGTAGCCCTTCTAATCCAGCTTCACTGATACCCAGTAACTGATCATTCCTGTGAGCAAGTCATTGCACATGCCTATGGCTGGCCTAATTTAAAAGATCAGCCTCTCCCAGATTCTGAGGACTGGCTCACAGATGGCAGCTCTATGTGAAATGGAGAGCACTGAGCTGGGTATGCAATAGTCAATGCCATTCTGACAGCCCAGCCACTGTCCCTGGTACATCAGCACAAAAGGCTGAAATTGTTGCTCCTACCTGAGCATTCATGTTGGAACAAAAGAAAAGCTTAACATCTATACAGATTCTAAACACGCATTTCTTGTGGTTCACACTCATGCTACAATCTAGAAAGAAAGGGGATCTCTAGCCAGCAAACAGTCCCCCGTAAAGCATGGGCCCAAAATTCTTCAACTATTGGAAGCAATACACCTGCCAAAGGCTGCAGCTATAATCCACTGTAGGGGGCATCAAAGGGACTAACCCCTATAGTGCAAGGGAACAGAAGCACGGATAGAGAAGCCAAAGCTGCAGGCCTCAGGACGCAATCCCGACAGGTCCTAGCACTGCTTCCTTTCTGTGATTTCCCAGTAGAACCTGAGTATACACTACAGGAAGAACAGTTAGTAAAGGAGCAAGGGAGGCAAAAACAAGGATCCCGGTGGCATGTGGCATCAAAAATACATCTCCCTCAAACAGCCCAGTGGAGAATTATAAAAACCCTGCATGACTCCTTCCTTAGGGGGAAAGGTGCCACCCTGGCCATGATTAACAGGCTCGTCATTGGGCCTGACTTGGCTTCGGTGGTTCAGCAGGTCTGCCAAGCCTGCTCACTGTGTGCACTTGACAGCCTGGGAAACAAAATGCCTCCTCTAATAGAACCAGTCCAGAGGAGGGGAACTTACCAAGGAGAGGACCGGAACTTAAACTTCACCCATATGCCAGCTGGCAGAGGATACAAGTTTTTGTTAGTGCTAATAGATACCTTTACTGGTTGGGTCGAAGCTTACCCTACCAGAACAGAGAAGGCTAGTGAGGTTATAAAGGTTCTCTTCAAAGAAATAATCCCCCTGTTTGGGTTACCTCAGAGTCTCCAAAGTGATAATGGCACATCGTTTATCTCCCAAATAACTCAAGGGGTGGCTAAGGTTCTTGGAATCCAATACTATTTACATTCAGCGTGGAGGCCTCAATCCTCCAGGAAAGCAGAAAGGGCTAACCAAACCCTAAAGTGAGCATTAGCTAAACTATGTCAGGAAACATCAAAATCTTGGGTCAGTGGCCACAGCCCTCTTAAGGATCCTTAATACCCCTAGAGCAAAAATTAATATAACCTATAAGACCATTCTTAACTAATGATCTCATTACTGATCCAGAAACATCTGGTTTAGTAAAATACCTAGTTAACCTAGGACAATTTCAGGTTTTACAAAAGTTTAGAGCTCAAAGGCTCCCCATACCAGGAACTAACCAGCAACCCGAAATTAGGCTGAGGGATAAGGTAGTTGTTAAAACATGGAAGGAGTGGTCACCGGCTCAAGAATCACAACCCAATGGAAGGGACCGTTTTCAGTGGTACTGGCTATGGCTTCTACGGTCAAGGTACTAGGATTAGATAGTCAGGTACATCTTTAAAGGATCAAGTCTGTGATACCCAAAGCCCTGGACCAGGAGCCTGAAGTACCTGTTTAGAAGGCAGGCAAGGGTTGGGTGCAGTGGCTCATGCCTGTAATCTCAGCACTTTGGGAGGCCGAGGCGGGTGGATCACGAGGTCAAGGGATCAAGACCATCCTGGTCAACATGGTGAAACCCCGTCTCTACTAAAAATACAAAAAATTAGCTGGGCATGGTGGCACGTGCCTGTAATCCCAGCTACTCAGGAGGCTGAGGCAGGAGAATTGCCTGAACCCAGGAGGTGGAGGTTGCGGTGAGCCGAGATCGTGCCATTGCACTCCAGCCTGGGTAACAAGAGCGAAACTCCGTCTCAAAAAAAAAAAAAAAAAAAAGAAGGCAGGCAAAAGACAAGTGAATGCCTACCAAATTTCCTTGGTGGTTCTGTTGCAGTTACTGTAGGCTGGATAATGGCGGCCATGTTTTTATTTTTTTTCAGTTTAATTGCTTTCTTTCAAATGATTGGAATCACTTCCTTTGTAGTGATTAAGCAGAATGTTGTGATTCATTCCCATAACAAACATTCCTGACAGCAGAGGTATCCACCCGCTCAAGTTCCCACTAAATTTTTTTTTTTTGAGACGGAGTTTCACTGTTGTTACCCAGACTGGAGTGCAATGGCACGATCTCGGCTCACCACAACCTCCGCCTCCTGGATTCAAGCAATTCTCCTGCCTCAGCCTCCCGAGTAGCTGGGACTACAGGGTCGCGCTACTATGCCCAGCTAATTTTTGTATTTTTTTTAGTAGAGACGGGGTTTCACCTTGTTGACCAGGATGGTCTCAATCTCTTGCCCTCGTGATCCACCCGCCTCGGCCTCCCAAAGTGCTAGGATTATAGGTGTGAGCCACCACGCCCGGCCCCCACTAAATCTTTTAACCAAATTCATTTCCTAGAGAGCATCGAGCTTCAGATGATCATGTGACAAGGTTTCCAGCCAGTTCCAAATAAAGACAGCAGCCCGGCCACCAAGAAACTACCCTGACTGTCTCCACTGGATAGATCAGGGCGGGAGTTCTGACATCTCCAATAGGTAAGACTGCGCCTCAAGTCAGTGTGAAGCAGTTACAGAAGAAAGACCATGAGTCCCCCTGTCTCCCATAAAGATTTCTGGGGATCATGTCTCTTGGGGAAAATGAGTATTTAAACCCCAGAAAATTCTGTGGCTCAGGCTCTTGAGCTGTCTGCTGGAGCCCGCTCCTACCCTGTGGAGTGTGTTTTTGCTCTAGCTGCCTTGCTTTATGTATTTTGTCCAGTTCTTTGTTCAAAACACCAAGAACCTGGACAGCTACCCTCAACCGGTAACAGATGTGCTGAGCATAGGCTCTCAGTGCCACCTCCACCTTGCCAGGAGGGAGCTGGAAGCCAGCACTGGGCCCCTGCCCTCCCTGCGTGGCCCCCAGGACCCTGGTCACCTGATCAGGAGGAAGGGTGAACCTCAGAGCCCTAAAAGCCTGGCCCTGAGTTGGGCCCAATACTGTTGCCCTGGCTGTGGCCAGGATTGGGGTGGGGGGCAGTGGGAGTAAAACCTGAAATTGTCCAGGAACCCCACCACAGTCCCCCACCTTCCTCCCACACCACTCCACATCCACTCATACTGTGGGCCCTTCCCAGTCCCTTAGTGGATGTGTGGGGCTGGGCCAGTCGGCTTCGCTGGGGAGGGAGGCTGGGGTTCGGATCAGCTGAAATCAAAGCCACAGCTCCCCTCCCTGCCACGCCGCACCCCTGCCGAGCGCCGCGCACCTCCTCCTTTGTCACAATGTTTTTCAATCCGGTGAAGCAAACTGTCCAATTAGAGCCGGGGCCTCCGGCTTCCATCTTTGCCGATGTTTAATTAACATGCTCCTCTTGGCAGCTGCTGACAAGTTCCAGAAACAGGTTGTAAAGGGTTTTTGTCTTTACCCAGCATGGAAAATGAGGGGTGTTACATCGAGGGAACATGAATAGATTGCATTTCAGCTCCCTCCTTCCCCTCCCCCCTGCACTGGAGAGAGGCATGCAGCCGTGTGTGTGTGTGTGTGTGTGTGTGTGTGTGTGTGTGTGTGTGAATTGGGGAATTGCAAGGGGGTGGGGAGGGTCGAGTTGGAGGCTGAGAGACCTCCTCCCTCTTCCCTCACCTCTTCTTCCCAGGAGCCTTTGCTCCACAAAAAGATCCAGATTCCATGCCTTATTCTCCAGCTGGCATACTTTTGCATCACCTCTCTTCTAGCCAGTAGCAGACCTGGTCACAGGTTTGTGTCCATGCTGTGCCTTTGCCATCCTTCTGGTAAACTCCTATTCACCCTCCAGAACCCTGCTCAGGTGACCCTGCTTTGGGAAGCCAACTGGGCACAGACTGCCTGTCTAGCCATACCTGTCAGAGTTCAGAGTGGATTCTGTGCATTAGGTCTGTCCCCCAGCTAGACTGTGAGCCCCTGAGGGCAGGAAGTATGTATTACTCTGCCCAGGGTGGTGGTGGGCCTTGGAGATCCACCCTTCTCAAGTCTTCCCTCACTGTCCAGGGAGAAGGAGGCTGGCTTGGCAGAGAGGAAGAATGGAAGGGATGGGGAGGAGGAGATGGGCCTAAGGGACCCCCAGAGTCCCTCCATCTCCCATAAAGATTTCAGGGATCATGTCTCTCAGGGGTAGGGGACGGGGAGGAATGAGGCAGGAGAGCAGTCTCTGGAGGCAGGAAACCTAAGGCTGATTCACACTGACTGGATATCAGAGGCAACTTCCTTTTTCTGTATGGCAGCTGCTGCCCAGAGCAGGACCACATGGAGGGCCCCACAGGGATGCTAGCTTTCTTAAGGGCTGAGTTTCTGGAGTAGGTAATGGAGGGGCCCTGAAGCAAGATCCCCACCCAGAGCTGAGCCCTGGTGTGTGCCCCAGGCTGAAAGAGGCTCCAGCACCCAAGTTTTGCCTCTTCAGCCTGGGATGGTTTTCCTTGCAGTGTAGGTGGTACCCTTGGATAAAGGTAAGGGCTGGGGCAGAAGCAGGTCTCTGGGGTCCTTTTCTCTCTCAAACTGTCCCCACTGGAGCATTCACACCCACTTTACAAAGGACATCAAAAATGTTTATTCCTGGAGGCTACAATCTACTTGACACAGAGCAGGCTGGGGGACCCAGGGAGCACAGGAGATGCTGGCTGCGGTAAAGGTCGGGGGTAGAAGAGCCTCATAGGTGGTGACTGGCACTAAGTTGTTTCCTGGAAGAGCTCAGGTTCACCCCCAGGCCCCAGCCCCACTCTGAGCCCGTGTTTCTCCAACATAGTCAAGACCCAGGACAGAAGCAGAACTTTTGCAGCCGGAACCTGGCTTGGACACCCACTTTGTAGCTTCTCCATTCTCAGGCAGACTCCCTGGGATGAAGGAGAGGTGGGATGGAGGCTCATGGGCCAAGGTAGTGGTGGGGATGCTGCTTCCTTGCTCTTTTTCTCCGGGTAGGTCAGCACCAGCTCCTCTGGAGCCCCGGGACAGTTTGCAGCCTGCAGGGGACAGCCAAGATCAGTGGGTCCCTGCTGGGCCCTGCTGCAGCCTCTTGGACACGATTTTCTTTTCTGGATGGGGTGGAGATTCAAGGCAATGGGGCAGAGCCCCACCTTCCTCTTTCCTGGCATCCTAACATCCTCTCTTGCCGCGTCACTCAGCCTCTTGCCCCAGACCCAGCTATTTCCAAGCTCTGGCCTCCAAGGAAGTTAAATAACAATAATAAATAACAGGAACAATGACCAGCAAGGACCCCAGCTTCTCCACTTGCTGGTTATGTGATCTTGAGGAACCTGAACTTCCCTGAGCCTCAGTTTCCTCATCTATTAGAAAGAGAGCAGTCATTCTACTTGCCGTGCAGAGATCTTGGGAAGGTGAAATGTGGAAGCCATGAGTATGGGCTTGGTGCCTTCCACAGAGGAGGCAAAGTGTGAGTAGATGGAAGGAAGGAGGGCAGGGTGGGTCTCATCTGAGCTGCACAACTGAATACAGCCAGACCTTTTATAGATGAGGAAATTGAGGCTCAGCCTCTAGGGTGAGGAGGTCTTCAAAGTCACAGCCAGCAGGCACAGTCACACAGCCAAGTGTGCCCCAGGTCTCCTTCCCTATGCCTCCCAGGCCCTTATGCCTTCAGATGTTCTGCATCTGTCCCGGATGTGCATTGTCTGACTCAGAAGTCCCCCTGCCAACCCAGTGTGCCCACTGCAGCCCGGCAGGAGGGGTGGGAGCCCTCATTTCTCGAGGTTTGCTTTTTGCCTCTTTACCGACAGCATCTGATTCTGAGAGCTGGGCCCCCATGGGGAGAACCTCCCTGTCATCCTCACAGACCAAGCCCATGCTCACCTGCTCCTCAGGGGGCCCTGGGCGCCTAGGGTACCAAGGGTACCGAGGAAGCCATGGGTAGTGGGGATGTCATGGATACCGAGGGCACTGAGGGTTTGAAGGTGGGGTCCTCAGGGATGTAGACAGTGCTGTTCCCTTCAGGAATCTGCAGAGAGAGGATGCAACTCCGAGGACCCCGTCCCAGGCCAGGCAGGGTGTCCCTGGCAACTAGAATATCCTGGAGCTGTAAATGGTGTGTGGTGAGCGCCACCTTGTGATTGCTATGCAGATCACATGCCACAGAGAGCAAGGTGGTCCTTCGACACAGGCGTCCTGCCCCTACCCCATACTAGGCACTGTCCTGGGTTCTGGGGCGTGGCAAGGATGAGATGGGGTCCTTGCCCCATTAGAGCAATGGTGAGGAATTCCCGTGAAATACCCAGAGTCAGTAAGAGTTGTAATTGCACACGAGAGGCTTATAACCCAGCCTGGGGGTGCTGAGAAGGTGTACTGAACCCACTTTTAAAAGATGAGTAGCAGTAAGGGCCAGATGTCAGGTAAGAGGCAGTATGCAAGGTCTGTCAACTGCAGGCAGGTCCGAAACGGGGGTTGGGAAGGTACAGGGAAGGCCAGAAGTGGGTAGAGAGGTGGAGTGTGAGTGGAGCAGATCAGCCCTGCCTTGCCTCCTGGGAACATTGGTCCAATCCCGATCCTCTGAGAAGCCACCTCACTTCCAAGGTAAACCCTCCAGGGGCTCAGGGACTGTCTGATGCTGTTCCTTCCGTTGGCACAGAGTTTCATTATTCCCAACCAGCCGCAGCCAGCCCACCACACCATGGGTTTTGTATCAGTGGGTTACACCTACCGCAGGTTGAAAATATTCAGAAAAAGCAACAAAAAATGACAATACAACAAAAAATACAACATTTACATTGTGTTAGGTATTATAAGTCATCTGGAGATTATGTAAAGCATATGGAAGGAGACATGGAGGCTTATATGCAAATACTATGCCAATTTCTATCAGGGGCTTTAGCGTCCCAGTGAGGGATCCAGCAGCCAATCCTGAGAGGTTACTGGGGGACAGCTGTCCTGCTCAAGGTGTACAGAGCTGAGAGGTGTGAACTTGGAATAAATTATAAAAATCAAAACAGAACCAAGAGGGAACTTCTATTTTGGGGAACTGATAACATTTCTGATGTGTTTCATTAGTGTAAAATCTGTGTGGTTTCTAATTGTGGTGTCTAAAATAGTTTTAGTTCTCACCATTAGATATGGACTAGAAGTAATTATGCCGTGAGAAAACGTTTATTGGGAATGTAATAACACAGAACAATCCTTATGATAGGTAAGGAGAAAGAGAAGGATACCAAATTGGGTGAATAATACAACCTGGACTGCATAAGAAAAATCTGTGCAAAGAAAAGGAAGTAAATATACCAGAAAATATTAATATTGCTTGATATAGGGTGATGATATTTCTATTTTTCTCTATTTCCGGATTTTCTTTAATGAGTATCTAGTCATTTTTAAATTACAAAATTTTTAAGAATTTAAGAGACATTCATTATGTGCATGAAATTGGCTTGTGGTGGATATTAAATTTACCCTGAAAACTTCTGGTGTGGTTTTAAAAAGACTGAGCCAAGTGAACGGCATTATGGGTGGTCCCTTGTCCCAGGAGCTATAGACAAAGGCTGGTCCTCACGCTTGTCACAAGGAGTCAGTGCAGGAGGCATGAGGGGAGTCCTGCCATTCACCCTCATCCAGTGCCAGGTAGGCACCTCTAATCATGATTCATGGGGAGAGGCCAGCCTGAAGTCACAGAAAGCCCAGACTGCTGCATGTTCTTAAGGAAACTGAGTTCTGCGACATTCCACCACTTTCAAATCTACAACGTTTCTCAAGCTCCTGGAAGTGGTGGAGTGTTGCAGAGCTCCGTTTTTCTTTTTCTTTTTCTTTTTTATGAGACAGAGTCTGGCTCTGTTGCCCAGGCTAGAGTGCAGTGGCAAGATATTGGCTCACTGCAACCTCCACCCCCTGGGGTTCAAGCATTTCTCCTGCCTCAGCCTCCTGGGTAGCTGCAATTATAGGCACGAGACAGTGAGCCTGGCTAATTTTTTTATTTTTAGTAGAGACAGGGTTTCAACGTGTTGGCCAGGCTGGTCTCGAACTCCTGATCTCAAGGGATTTGCCTGCTTTGGCTTTTCAAAGTGCTGGGATTATAAGCATGAGCCTCCACATCCAGTCCAGAATTCAGTTTCTGTATCAGAATCACCTGGGAGCTTGTCACTTGCAGTCCAGGGCCCTACTGAATCAGAACCTCTGGGGTGGTGTCTGGGAAGGTCTCCAAGTGGTTCTTATGGAGATGGAAGCTGAGCACTGCACTGTGATTTCCAACCCAGGCTGGTGGTCTTTCTCTCTCTCTTTTTTTTTTTGAGACAGAGTCTAACCCTGTTGTAAAGGCTGGAGTGCAGTGGCGCGATCTCGACTCTGCAACCTTCACCTTCCCAGTTCAAGAGATTCTCCTGCCTCAGCCTCCTGAGTAGCTGGGATTACAGGCACATGCCACCATGCCTGGCTGATTTTTGTATTTTTAGCAGAGACGGGGTTTCACCATGTTGTTCAGACTGGTCTTGAACTCCTGACCTCGTGATCCACCCACCTCGGCCTCCCAAAGTGTTGGGATTACAAGCATGAGCCACCGTGCCCAGAATATTCTCTTTCTTTCTTAAAGGGTCTTGTTCTATTGCCCAGGCTGGAGTGCAGTGGCACCATCATAGCTCACTTTAGCCTCCACCTCCTGGACTCAAGTGATCCTCCTGCCTCAGCCTCCAGAGTAATTGGGACTACAGACACATGCCACTACATCTGGCTAATTTTTCTACTTTTCTTGTAGAGAGAGGGTCTCCCTATGTTGCCCAGCTAGTCTCAAACCCTTGGGCTCCAGCAGTCCTGCTTCAGCCTCCCAGTGTGGGGATTAGTCATGAGTTACTACAGCCAGTGAAAATCGGCTCTTCTAACTAGTTTTCAATGCTGATGGTGCTGGCCACCATACCATGGGGACCCCTATGCTAGCATAAAGCTGACTGAGTCTTTAGGGACAAGAGTAAACTCCAGCTGCAGCCCCGAGCTTGCTTCTGTCACCCCCCGACCCCAGGGTTGCAGAAAGAGAGGTACACACCACCCACTCCAAGCCCTGGGGTCAGGAGGGAAAAGTCTTCAACTCCTTGAGACGTAGCCTTCCCCAATGAGGTAGGGTGATGCAGGCTCTGACCCCCACCCCTGGTGTCTGGCTCCCAGGCCAGTCCAGCTGATGCAGGTGGAGGTAGGAAGGGAACGCCTCTGGCCTCCTTCAGGGGGACAAATCCATAGAGCTCACCTCCCAGTAGACTGCATCCTCAAAGCAGTTCTCATCTGAAGGTTGTCCCCAGAATGGTAATCTCAAAATGAGCCCTACAGAAAGTTGGAGATCACTGGATGTCAGGAAATGCTTTCTCTCTGCTCACCGCAGCCATTTCTCTCGGCTGGGAGAATCCTCCTGGGGCCCTTGGGCTGAGGTCCAAATCTCCCCAGTCCCGTAGCCAGAAGTGCAGAGCTCAGGAATTCCTGGGGGCTCCGGGCTGACTGGTACTGCCCACCGTTTGGTTCCCCACCCAGGGAGCCCCACAGCAGCCCCCTTCTCTGGCCCAGCCACTCCTGCTCACCCACAATGATGCCGCCCATCAGGGCCATGCCCAGGGTCACCAAGAGACCATAAATCTGGAACTTTCCCTGTGTTCTTGGGGTCCAGTTCACCTTCGAACCTTGAAAGTCAAAGGAATGGACAAGCCTGGGGTGGAGACAGGGGGCAGGTCAGGGCCCCATGGGGAAGCCAAGTAACCACTTGCTCCACCCCAAAAATATGAGCGGGTACCACAGGCCTCAGCCTTCCTATTCACAACATTGGGACACTGGACATATTGGTTGGTCTCTAAGACTTCTAGGAAGTGACAGAGGCTGGGGAGAGAGGCTCATGAAACAATTGGTCCAGAGCAGGGAAGGAAAGTGAGAGAGACACAGTCGGGTCCCAGAGGAACAGCAGGAGGAAGGGGTGGAGAAGGAGAGGGGATGCTCCACCCTACCACACCTCCGCCACATTTACCCTTCTTCTCCGTAGACTTCTGGGCTGGCGGAGGCCGCCGTCACGGCACCCACGATGCCGCCTATGATGCCAGGAATGCCGTGCAGGTTGTTAATGCCACATGTGTCCTGGATCCGCAGCCGGGACTCCAGGAATGGCTGGAGAGGAGAAATGGGTGCTGCTCAGGCCGGGGACTGCAGCAAGGGTGTGGGGGGACCCTCAGAGACTCAGGGTTCTCTAGCTCTCAGCCCCCTCCCTAGGAACCCTCAGCTCTCTGCCAGAAACACAAAGACCTCAGTGTTCTCCAACCCCTAGCCACTTGCTTGGGCACTTACGGTCAGGTATACGAAACCCAGGGTGGAGAAGATGCCACAGAGGAAGCCGACGATGAGGGCGCCATAAGGCATGAGCATCATCTCAGCAGCGGTACCCACGGCCACTCCTCCCGCAAGTGTGGCATTCTGGATGTGCACCTGGACAGGGCAGGCAGAAGGGGCAGGAACTCAGTCCTTTCCTGGAGCTCCAGGCCTGGAGGGGCTCACTCACTGGTTGGCGGGGGAGGGGGGCAGCCTGGGCCTGGGAGCCAGGGATGGCTTGGAGTTCACCTCAGCAAGCCAGGAGCACGAAGAGGACTCCAGCCCCCGCCCAGGCTTGCTATTGCTGCCCCATGTCCCTCCCTCTGCACACACCACCTATCCCCCCCAGCAGGTCTGGGCATTTTCCACGTGCTGGTGCACCTGCCAGTGAGCCCTGACAGCAGCCTTACAGTTGTTTTACGTGCGCCATGTATACCTGTGTGCCAGACTAGCATGTCTGAATGTTCTTGCCTAGCCTGCAAGTCCATGTCCAGTGCCTATGGGGTAAGACATTCGCAGGCACCAGCTGCTGCTGAGTGCTAACCTGTCCCTGGTACCGTGCTGCTGGCTGTGGAGCTTAGCTCTTTCTATAACTACAACGAGCCTGCAAGGTGCTGACAGTTACCTTGCAACAACTGCAGATGAGGAAACGGATGTGAGGGGGTTAAGTGGCTTGTCCAAGACCACAGAGCTAGCAAGAGGCAGATGTGTGTCTTGATCCAGGCCTTGTGGCCCCAGAGTCCCCGTCCTTGACCCTATTCCATGTCCCTCCCTGCAGGTGGGTGTGGATACACACAGGTGTGCCAGTCAGTGTGCCTGATTCTCTTCCCCAGGTACCCGAGTCCCCACCTTTCTGCATGGTGACAGTGTCCCCAAATCATGGATAGTCCTGACAGCGTCTTACACACATGCCCGTGTCAAGATGCTTGTGTCAGATTATAACCTACGTCAGGCACCGTGGCTCATGCCTATAACTCCAACTTCCGAGGCGGGTGGATCACCTGAGGTCAGGAGTTGGAGACTAGCCTGACCAAGATGGTGAAAACTACAAAAATTAGCCGCCTGTGGCGGCCTGTGCCTGCAGTCCCGGCTAGTCAGGAAGCTGAGACAGGAGAATCGCTTAAACCCGGGAGACGGAGGTTGCAGTGAACTGAGATCGTGCCACTGTACTCCAGCCTGGGTGACAGAGCAAGACTCCATCTAAAAAAAAAAAAAAAAAATTACAAGATAATGTCCTTATTTTTCATAGAAAAATCTGCCAACTTCTATGGAATTTGGTCCCTCCTACGAATGACAAAAATAGCTGCCATGTGATATGAGGGACATTCTGCAACATGACACTCCCCAAAACTTGCCCAGTTCAGTGGACAAAGCATTACAGGGGTTGCCTCTCTGAGTGCATGGGATGGGGCAGGTGAGGTGACTGTAGGAAGCCTGGCTGGGCACAGTGGCTCAAGCCTGTGATCCAGGTACCTTAGGAGGCTGAGGCAGGAGGATCACTCGAGGCCAGACATTTGAGACCACCTGGGCAACCACAGTGGATCTTGTCTCTACAAAGTATTTTTAAAAATTGATCGGGTGTGGTGGTGCATGCCTGTACCTAGCTATTCAGGAGCTGAGGCAGGAGAATCACTTGAGTCTAAGATTTGGGGCTATAGTGAGCTATAATTGTGTCACTGCACTCCAGCCTGGGTGACAGAGTGAGACCCCCATCTCCAAAAAATAAAACAGCAGGCTGAGGGCCGATGTCTGGAGGTTCAGAGCCTGGCAGAGGGGACACACCCTCAGCAACTCTGCTGGGCAGGCCAGATGCACTCTCAGCCCAGAATAAAATCAGCACCTGGGTTATGGGCAGGATAATGAGGAGTAAGAGCCATTGAAATAGCCAGAACTCCAAGAATCTCGCTCTGGGTGCTGCTGGAAACTGGCCATGTGCTCAAAACGAATCATTTCTCTCCCAGCCTCATCTGCAAGATGGGGGTGATGATCCCCTGGGAGCTGTGGGCAGGCCATGGTGATGGCGCCCTCCAGGCCCAGGCACTCAGCCACACCCCCGATGCCCTCATGCTCACCATGTCCAGCTTGCCCTTCTTGTGCAGGGCACTGGATGTTGCCACTGAGGTAAGCACACAGGCTGCCAAGGAGCAGTAGGTATTGATGGCAGCTCGGTGCTGGCTGTCGCCGTGGTAGGATATGGCTGAGTTGAAGCTGGGCCAGTACATCCACAGGAAGAGGGTGCCTGGTCAGACCAGACAGGGCCGACAGGCCCAGGGGGAGAGGCATTAGATAGGCCCACGGCTCAGGCAGGCGTCCTGCCTTTTAGCTCTGTAGATGACCCCCACATCCAGCTATCTGCACCAGGAAGTCTACCCTGACCCCTGTTTCTGGGTTAAATGCCCCCACCCTATTCCCACAGCACCAAGAAGGAGAATCTTTTCTCCACTGTAGGGAGATCCTCGAGGTGGCACTGCTGTCTCTTTCACTATACTGTGAGGAGCTCCTGGAGGGCAGGGCTGGGTTTTGAGAGACCAGAACAGGTGTGGTCAGTGTGTTCTCTGGAATGAATGGACACAGGAAGTGGAAATGCACATCCTGCCTGATGGAGTGAGCAGTTCCGGTTACCACTGTGTCTGCATTGGGACATTCTAGGGGAAATACAGGATGAGTGATCAACTTCTTTCAGCTCCTTGGGGAAGAGGGCGGTCATACGGGATTCTAGAATTATCTACAGGCAACCTCTATCTGTCCTTCCCCCAAAGAGAACTGGCAGCCACCCACCACCATACCATGTGGGGATCAGGTCTGATCATGGCTGCCTTCACCCATCATGGCCTCCTTCACCCATCATGGTGGCCCTCAGTCATCATAGCAGTTCTCACCAATCATGGCAAAGAGGTCCGACTGGTACACAGAACTCTCTCTCTCCTTGCTCTGCTCTAAGTTGTGTCGGTAGAGGATCCGGGTCACTGTGAGCCCAAAGTAGGCGCCGAATGTGTGGATGGTCATGGAGCCCCCTGCATCCTTCACCTGGGGTTCAACAGGCTTGTCAGACCCTGGCACCTTCTCTCCCTCCCTCCTCATAGCAGTCCCCATCCTGCCACACACACCCGCCCAGGGCTCCAGCCTTCTCGGACTCCTCAGTGCAGGATGGAGCCTGGGGCCCTCACAGACCAATCAACTGGTAATGTGGGGAGAAAGCAGGGATCCCCACCAGCAAAATTCCAGGAATGTTGCTGTTCCCAGATGGGGAAACCCAGGCCTGGAGAGAGGGATTTGCTCACACAGCTGAAGGAGGAGGGGCAGAGGCAGAACCCAGGGAAAGCCTCTGCCTGCTTGCTCACCCACTGGTTTCTGCCTCTGTGCCTCTCATTTCACTTCTTCGGGCCTCAGGCTCCCTATTGGCGCCACAGGGGTGATCCCAGTGACGTAGCAGGGCTGTTGTCAGCATTTGTGCAGGGGACTTGCCCCTGGCGAGGGCCTGGTGCTCAATAGGTGACTGATTAATGTTGGTCCTCCTCACACTCACCTCCCCTTCTCTTTAACAACCTCCTCCTCCCCATTCACAACCAATCTCAGAAGAATAGAATCATAGACTCACTCCTTCTCTTTAGATGGGGGAAACCCAGCCAGAGAGGTAAGTGTGTCATCCAAGGTTGTTGACAGGGCTGAAATTCTCAACTCTCAGCCTAGCCGATGCCTCAACTAGCTGTGTGACATTTGGTGAAACACTTAACCTCTCTGAGCCTCAGCTTTCTCATCTATAAAATGGTGGTAAGCCAGGCACGGTGGTGGCTCATGCCTGTAATCCCAGCACTTTGGGAGACTGAAGCAGGTGAATCACCTGAGGTCAGGAGTTCGAGACCAGCCTGGCCAACATGGTCTCTACTAAAAAGACAAAAATTAGCTAGGCATGTGCCTGTAATCCCAGGTACTCAGGAAGTTGAGGCATGAGAATTGCTTGAACCCAGGAGGCAGAGGTTGCAGTAAGCTGAGATTGCACCACTGCACTCCAGCCTGGGTGACAGAGCAAGACTCCATCTCACAAATAATAATAATAATAATAATAATAATAATAATGAAATAAAATGGGGGTAATAATTGTGCCTATGTCAGAGCTAAGGATTAAGAGTTAACCCATGGAAAGTGTGCAGATTGGGGCCCAGCAAAGGGCCAGTGCACCTTACATGTGAACCATTACTGTGTTTCAACTTGAATCGAAGAGAGGCTGAAACACTGTCATGTGTTAAAATCATTGCTGTAGTAGATTGGGGAGGGGTTTTGAGGGCATAGGAGCTTTCTCTGCCCCCCCCCACTTTTTTTTTTTTTTTTTTTGGACAAAGTTTCTCTCTTGTAGCCCAGGCTGGAGTACAGTGGTGTGATTTTGGCTCATTGCAACCTCTGCCTCCTGGGTTCAAGTGCTTCTCCTGCCTCAGCCTCCTGAGTACCTGGGATTACACGTGCCCACCACCACGTCCAGCTAATTTTGTATTTTCAGTAGAGATGGGGTTTCTCCATGTTGGTCAGGCCGGTCTTGAACTCCCAACCTCAGGTGATCCGCTCACCTCGGCCTCCCAAAGTGCTGGGATCACAGGCCTGAGCCAGCAAACCTGGCCCTTTCCTGCCTCTTAACTCATCCCCAAGATATCACCTTATCAGCCTGTTTCAGATCTCAGCAACTGGCCCCGCAGCCTACCCCTGAAGAAGCCTCTGTCCTCCCTCTCCCTTGTCCCACCCCACGCAGTCTCCAAGGCCATTATTCTCCTCCTAGTGGCTCCTGGCTCCTCCACTTGTTCCCACTATGCTAACCCAGTCTTAGTCCCATGATCTGTCACCACAGCGACCAGGACAACCTCTTAGCGGGGACTTCTGCCTCCCAAACGTTCTTGTCACCCTAGGGAAAGCGGTGTTTCCTTTACACGTGTCTGACCACATCACTCTCTGCTGACCTCCCACTGCCCTCATGCTACAGGCAAGGCTCTTCAACACTGTTTCTTGAGGGCTGGGTGACCTGTGCTCCCCCTCACCCATCACCCATGACCTCCCTCTCAGCACCGCCCCTTTCCAGCCACAGCCACTGTGGAGCCCTCGCTGTGCGTCTGTCTCCAGCCCTGTGTACTCCAAATGCCCTCACTTGCTCCTTCACTTGCTGAGCTCCTACGTGACTTCTGGCTTTGACTTCTCCTCCAGGAAGCCTCCCTGACCTTCCAGGCTGCTTTGGACTCTCTCCTCTGGGCCACTGAGCCCTTGTCCCTTGACGTGCTTCTTATCACAGCACCGGCTCACTGCCGATGTAATTCCTGGTTCCCTCACCTGACTGTGAGCTTCTAGGGGTCTAAGTGCCAGCCCCACTCACCTCTACCTCCCAGAGCCTGGAGCATTCCCTGACGTGCAGTCAGACTCCTATGTAGACACTGGGCTAGGTGCTGGGGAGAGAGACTGTCCGAGCAGATAAGGCTTTCTTCCCTTTGCAGATGAAATAAATGCAGCAGAGAAAATACACCAAGGTAGTGTGAAAGCAATGGGAGAGATGAGATAGATGGGGACACTGTCTAGAGAAAGCCTGCAGGGCTTCTCTTAAGACAGGGTACGCAAGGCTGAGCATGGCAGCTCATGCCTGTAATCCCAGCACTTTGGGAGGCTGAGGCAGGCGGATCACTGTGGTCAGGAGTTCAAGACCAGCCTGGCCAACATGGTAACACCCCGTCTCTACTAAAAACACAAAAATTAGCCAGGCCTGGTGGCTTGCACCTGTAATCCCAGCTACCACGGAGGCTGAGGCATGAGAATCACTTGAACCCGAGAGGCGGAGGTTGCAGTGACCTGAGATCGTGCCACTGCACTCCAGCCTGGGCAACAGAGTGAGACTCCATCTCAACAACAACAAAAAATGAGAGGATGTACACACTGAGATTCAGTAATGCAAGGACTGAGAGACGACCCTCATAGGCAAAGGGAACAGCCAGTGCACAGGCCCTGAGGTGGGACTGAGCTCTGTGCCTGAAGAGCAGACAGCAAGCTATGATGAAGCACAGGAAGATGGGGAGAGAGCAGACAGCAAGTGGAGAGGAAAGTTGGTGGCAGAACAGGAAGGGCCTTAGAACAAGTTGGTGTTTTCTCCTGAATGAAATGTTAAAACCACGATAGATGTTCACTGGGTGAATGGTCTTCTATGCATTATTTATGCGCCACTCTGGCTGCTGGAGGTGACTTGCCTCAGGGACAAGGAAGGCAAGAATCCAGCCAGGGAGATGAGTCAGGAGGAAGAGATATGGTAGCTTGGACTAGTGTGGTAGCTGAAAAAATGACAAAATGAATGACTGAATTTAGGGTGACCTAAATCAACGCCTTCCAAGCAGGGGGAGTTCCAGACAGAGTCCACATGTAGAGGAGGAGGGAGCTAAGAAAAGCATGCCGTTTCTATGTGAGAACCCCTACCGTCCAAAGGCACCAAGGAGGCTTCTGAGACACAGTCAAAGGTCTCAGGTGCCCCTTATCCGAGCCGTCGAATTGACCCCCCCCCCCGCCCCGCCCTGGGAGCAGCACTGCTGTCATGGTCCATGTGAATGACAGCTCTGGGTTGTGTAGCACACACCACGCCACCTTGACCATCCACCTGGGATCCGGCCCTACAGATTTGCCCCCTCAATACACTGGATCCCTTTTCTTGGCAGAGCAATCTGGAAATGTGGTATGCGTGCAAGAGAATGTGCAGGGATAGCGAGTCCTTCCACCTGATGTGTGGGAAAGAAAGGAGGGGAAAAAACCATGTTCAAAGAAGCCCTGCTGTGCCCATGTGCTGGGTTGATCTGCCAGGTGCAGTATGGTAGCTGCCTGGTAGATACCATGACTCCCATTTTAGAGATGAGAAAACTGAGTGATGTTCAGGAGGCTGAGTGACTCACCAGGCTGGCACGTCTCCCCAGCCATCTCTTCCTCCATACCCCGCTGTCCCCCAAAGCATCCCCTCCACCCCATCCCCATTCTGAGCCCCTCTCACCTGTAGCAGGTTAAGCAGAATGAACTCATTCACAGCAAAGAGGGTCACTTGGAAGAAAGTCATGATGAGCAGCTGAATGGGGCTGACTTTACCTAGAACTGCACCGAAGGCCACGCAGACAGAGGCCACACAGAAGTCAGCATTGATGAGGCTGTGGGGAGACAGGCCAGTGGGGAAGCTGGGGCAGCAGCAACAGGAGGCACTGGAAGCCATGGACTTTGGTCATATGTGGATTTGGGCTTGTGGCTTAACCTTTCTGAGCCTCGGTTTCATTGTCTACACTAATGGGCACCTAACATTTAGGGCTATTCCAAGAATTAAACCACACATGAGACAGGTCCAGTCGGGCAGCATTCTCTAGGTTCCCCACCCCATGCAGCCCCACCTCAGGCCCCCACTGCTTGCAGGCAGCTCAGGCTCAGGCACCCATGTGGTCTGGCTGTTACTGATGAACATGCCCCATATTTGGGGTCCTGCCTGTCCCGTAGCTTCTATCTGCTCTTCTAGAACCTCCTCTCACTGCTTCCTCTTTCAGGAAGCCTTCCTGATTCCTCCAACCAGATGCAGTTTCTGCCTCCAGATCCTTCTCTCTCACTCTGCACAAACCTCTTTGTTGGTGACCAGGGCCTTGCTTGAGTTTGAGCTATTGGGACCTTCCCTTTACCTTCTCCATGAGAGAGGATCTAAGGCCAGGGAAGAGACAGAAGGGCCTTTCTGCAGGAAGGAGGGAGCTGGGATGGTACTGGATGGAAGGAGGGGGCAGGAAGGCCAGCAGGGAGAATGGAGTCAAAGGGGCAGGTACATAGGTCCTGCTCAAGCCTGAGCCCTGAATACCTGCCAGCTCGGCAGAAGGCTGATGAAGAGGAGACAGCTGGGTGGACATTGTGTAGACCCTGGTTCCATCCATGTGCCCACTTTGCCCAAGCTGGTCCTCCTTGTTCCCTGCCAGCAGCAAAGCTGTCCTCTGGATTCCAAGGCAAGACCCTCAGTATGGCCTCAGGCCAGGAGAGTTGTGAGTGGGGTGGGTGTAGTGATAAAAGGGGCTACTTCCTCAAGGCTGTCACATTTAGAGTGGACTCTCTTACCCTTCCATGCTCAGGGCTGTGTATATGAGAGAGAGAATGGGGTGAGGAGTGAGAACAAAGCTCACTTGTAGGGCCAGTTAATGGAATGGGGGTGGGGTCCTTCCCAAGACAGAGAGTGTTCACTGGACTGTCCACCCCACTACTGCCTCATTCACTGCTGTGTCCCCAGGGCCTGATACAGAGCCCAGCTAAATGAGCGGTGGCATTTCCTAAGTGCTACGCTCCAGGATCTCTACTAAGAACTGCATATGCCCTCCTGTGCCATACAGGACAGGCACTGTCATGAGCCACATCATGTAGATGGGACATGGAGACTCAGAGAGGCTGAGTTATTTGCCCAAGATCCCATTACTGTATTCAGAAGACTCGTCTTGATAGATGTGACCATTAGAAAGGAGAGAGATTGGCCGGGCCTGGTGGCTCACACCTGCAATCCCAAGATGGGCGGATCACCTGAGGTCAGGAGTTCAAGACCACCCTGGCCTGCATGGTGAAACCCCATCTCTACTAAAAATACAAAACTTAGCCAGGTGTGGTGGTGAGCACCTATAATCCCAGCTACTTGGAAGGCTGAGGCACGAGAATGGCTTGAACCTGGGAGGTGGAGGTTACAGTGAGCTGAGATCATGCCATTGAACTCTAGCCTGGGTGACAGAGTGAAAACAAAAAAAAAAAGAAGAAGAAAGAAAAAAAGGAGAGAGAGAACAGAAAAGCCCACTCCTTGGTCTATCAGCACCTGGGAGATGGGGATCCAGATGCCACATCTCAGGAGGGCCGAGTAGAGATGGGATTTCACCACGCTGGCCAGGATGGTCTTGAACTCCTGACCTCAAGGCTTGGGCAGGGCCTGCAGAGGGCACATTCTACAGTGACAGGTGGGACTTGGATGACTCTTCAGCAGGGACAGGACTGAAGCCAGGGGAGGGGCCACATCTCTGGATCTGCAAGGTCAGGTCTGGGGACAACATGCTCATCCCAGCCCTGGGCACCAGAAATCGGCTCCAAGTCAGGTGCTGCAACATCAGTCCCCTGAGAGCCAGTTTGTCCAAACTCACTTTTTCCTTTTTTTTCTTTTGAGACAGAGTCTCCCTCTGTCACCCAGGTTGGAGTGCAGTGGTGCAATCTCAGCTCACTGCAACCCCTGCCTCCTGGGCTCAAGTGATTCTCCTGCCTCAGCCTCCCACAAACTCAGTTTTTCGAGTGACCAACTTGCTGAATAACTGCATCTCCAAACACCTATTAACTCAGGGTTTGTAATAATTCCCTTCGAATTTTCTTGAGATTAAAAAATATTCATTTAGCCAATGATATATATTCCAGGTATGTTTATACTTTGGATCTATGGCTTCGAGAATGATCACTTCTTATGCATTTTGAACTTCCAGATGAGACACATGTCGAGGGTCTTCGACACAAAAACACTATTTTATTGGTTCCAACACCTATCCGGTTGACCATCTTTCCTGTGTCTCTTCATTCATGGATTAATTAGCTGGCTTGAATGAAGTAATTTTTTGCAAATATTTGACACGTGTCCTAGATTTCAGACATCTGGCCTCCAATACCTGGTTGGTACCCCACAGGTAATATCAGGGACTTGCCCTTTAAATGTGGTTTTATACCAATTTGCCTGTAAGCCCTTTCTGTGAACTTAGTTTATGAGCGAGCTAATGAATGTTCATTTTCACACACCAATGATTACTTTCTCAAATTAAGTTTTTTTTCTTGAAGGATGGGAGAATGGAGGAAAACAGATTTTTTTTTCTTTAGCCAAACTTGTCATATGTTTACAGAAATAAAAGTCTGTCTGAACTGGACTTAAAGGAGAACCTCCAATAAACTAAAACTTGGCTAAAGTGAGAAAAATCTCCCAAAAGCTCTTGATTAGGACCTGAGCAACACAGATTGCTGTAGGTTTCATGAGCTGCCATGGGATGGAGACTTTGATAAATGAGTCATTCAGTGAGCTGACCACTTTGTCCATTGATTTTTTGGCGAGTTGGCTTTGGGTGGATTTATTTTATAACGTGTTCGTGGTGGTGTGGGTTGGGGAGGTATATTGAGGCTTGGAGGAGTCACTGCAGAACAGAGGGAGGGGCTGAGTCACCTGGTGAGAAGGGGTTGGTGGCGCTCATCAGAGCGAGTCATCACAGGGGAGTCAGGAGAAGGGCAGAGCTGAGAAGTGACTGTGGGGTGCTCCACGCCCAGAGGCTGAGGCAGGGGAAGGGGCTTCAGCACTACCACGCCACACCTACTTCTGTCTCACAGCTGTTTCCAGCACCTGTTCCCTGGGGTGGGTGGGTGTGGTGAGGCAAGGCAGGGAGAGAGGTACCTTCATTCGGCTGGAGTCCCCATTCGGTTCCCTCCACAAGGAGCCTCTGAGGCTGGCACAGACATCCCAGCTTTCCCACCAGGGCTGGGCGATTTTGATGTGCCAGGCCCGGCCGGCCCTGCCCCCAGAGGAAAGTCTGAGCTCAAGTTCCTGCAGCTTTTGTTGTTGGAGAAGGGAGACCTTCCTATGGCACCTGGATGATGCCCACCCTGGAGAATCACTGGTCAGAAAGCGAGATGTGTGTGTGTGTGTGTCTCTCTCACAGGCCCGGTGTGGCCTGAGAGTATGTATGAGTATGTGTCTCACAGGCCCAGTGTGGCCTAAGTGTGTGTGTATGTGTGAGTGTGTGTGTGTGTGTGTCGTAGGCCCAGTGTGGCCTGAAGGACGACTTGCCTTCTGGCCCCAAGCCCCGGCCCCACCACTGGGCAGCCCCCTCCCCGGGCCCACCTGCCCAGCCCCATCCCAGCCAGACCCCCTGCCCCAGGCCCATCTGCCCAGCCCCATCGCGCCCAGTCCCCCGCCCCAGGCCGCCCGCGCTCACTTTTCCACGCCCACGAGGATGTGGTTGTCTTGGAAGGAGTGGAACCAGCCCTGCATGAGCAGCGCCCACTGGATGCCAAAGGCCGCCAGCAGGAAGTTGAAGCCCACGGCGCTGAAGCCGTAGCGCTGCAGGAAGGTCATGAGGAAGCCGAAGCCCACAAACACCATCACGTGCACATCCTCGAAGCCTGCAGGAAGGGGCAGCCAGGACTCAGTGGTCTTGCAAAATTCACTCGTCCTGGTTTTGGGCCAGGAGGGCGGGGGCAGTGCCTCAGTCTTCCCCACTACCGGCCGGTCCACCTGCTTCACCAGCCTAGCCCTGTCCCCGCATCCCCACATCCCAGCCCTGGGCCAGGTGCATCCCACTGGGGACAGAACCACAGTCCCTTCATCAGGGCCTCTCTGGAAGGGGAGGGGTTGGGGGGCCCAACGTGGACCCCCACTTTGGCCTATTTAACCACTGGGCTGCAGCGCCGAGAGATTCCCAAGCACCCTCCTTGAGAGATGGCAGCTCCTTGGTTCTACCTTCCTCCCTAGGTGGCTCTGCTGGCCCAGGATTGGAGGTAGCAGCTGGGCATCAGAATTTGGGGCCAGATGTGGGTGATATGCAGGGTCTAAGGTCCATAGCCTAGACCATCTGAGGCTATGAGGCCCTGCCCTCACCACCACAACACTGTTCCTTTGCTATGGAGAATCAATGCTCATCTGGGCAAGGAGTCACCTGGACAGGCCAAGCACATCTGTTCCAGCTCATCACATTCTCATATCCCACCACCAGCTCCAGCAGATACACATCCCACATCACTCACCACCAGCTCCAGCAGATACACATCCCACATCACTCACCACCAGCTCCAGCAGATACACATCCCACATCACTCACCACCAGCTCCAGCAGATACACATCCCACATCCCACATCCCACCACCAACTCCAGCAGATACTCCCCACATTCTACCACCAACTCCAGCAGATACTCATCCCACATCCCACCACCAACTCCAGCAGATATCCAGCCCCTCACCAATGAGATTTGAATTTGGACCCCAGTTCCTACATCTCCATGGTGGGTGACTCTGGGAAAGTTATGTATTTTAACTTGGGGCTTGGCTTCTGGAATGCTTACATCACAGATGTTGGGGGATTTAACACAGATGTGTATGTAAAGAAGCATCTAGCACAGTGTCTACCCCATATGAAGTGACCCAAATGGGCAGACATCATTGTTTATTTTCACTCAGGCATGGCCTAATTTCTGAGTTCTGACAGTCTTCTCCAACCCATGTGGCGTTGGCAAGCCACTTCCCCTCTCAGAGCCTCCGTTTTCTCAATGACCAAACTAAAGGACTGTACTAGGATGGTCTTCACTCCCCTCTCAGCACTTACGTTGCATAGTTCTAAACTCCAAGAAAATAACAGAAGACAAAACTCTGAGAAGAAAAGAGCATTGCAGAAGCATAGCACGCTGATAAGAACTGCAATGTCACAGGACATAGGGGCCAGATGAAGGGCTCCCCACTGGCCAAATCTGGGACCGTTTGAGCACCAGAGTAATTATGTGTTATAATGAATTAAAACTACTAAAAAAGGAACTCATGAGTTCATACCGATAATAAGTTGGTAAACAAATAAATGAGGTAGCAGACAGGGCGCTTGCCTCCAGTGGAATGCTGAGGCTACACTGTTAAATGTGGAGAGAGTGCTAGGGTTGGAAAATCATCATCTTCATGGTAAAGATTCAACCAGTGGATGCTAAATGCAGGGGGGATTTTTGATTATGTACAGGACACCTGCATTGTCTTAAAGAGTTTCCTTACGGACTGCTTATTAGTTGCAGGGGAAGAAAATAACAGTAATTATACTGGGCGACATACTGACTGGGTGATCAAAATTAATGTCACTCATGCCTCCACATGTGATAGCCTGGAAAGGACATATCCCCTGTGTGGGATTCTAGCTGAGACTGGAGCCCAATGTAATGAGAAAAACATCAGACAAACACAGTATGAGGAGCATGCTGTTAAAAATGGGTGAGGCTGCATTCTTGAAAAGTATTAGTCCTGAAAGACCTTTGAAATGTTCCAGATTAAAAGACACAACAAAAGATATTAAAGTCAATACTGTCCAGGAGTGGTGGCTCACACCTGTAATCCCAGCACTTTGGTAGGCTGAGGCGGGGGATCACCTGAGGTCGGGAGTTCGAGACCAGCCTGACCAACATGGAGAAACCCTGTCCCTACTAAAAATACAAAATTAGCCGGTCATGGTGGTGCATGTCGGTAATCCCAGCCACTTGGGATGCTGAGACAGAAGACTTGCTTAAACCCAGTAGGCAGAGGTTGCGGTGAGCCGTGATCGCGCCATTGCACTCGTCTGGGCAACAGAGCAAAAATCCATCTCAAAAAAAAAAAATGGCAATACCTTACTCTAGACTAGATCCTGTATTTTGTGGGGATGGGAGAGTGGGGGGCATGCTATAAAGGTCATTATTGGGTCCATTGAGAAAATCAGATATAAACAGTAGAGTAAGATATTGTATTAATGGAAATGTATGCAGCTGATTACTGTGGTTATGGAAGAGAATCTCCCTATCCTTAGGAAATATGGTGGAGTAGTTAAGGGTAGAGGGTCATGAGGTATGTGACTGACCCTCAAATGGTTCAGAAAAACAAGGCATGCATGTGTGTGTGCATGTGTGTGTGTGCATGTGTGTACATGTGTGTGTGCATGTGTGTGTACGTGTGTGTACGTGTGTGTGCATGTGTGTGTACATGCGTGTAGAGAAAGAGTGAGCAAATAGTGGAGTCTGAGCTAGAGTATATAATATTCTTTTGTTGTTGTTGTTGAGACATAGTCGCACTCTGTCGCCTGCTTGGAGTGCAGTGGTGTGATCTCACCTCATGGAAACTTCTGCCTTCTGGGGTTCAAATGATCCTCCCACCTCAGCCTCTGTAGCAACTGGGATTACAGGCACATGCCACCACACCCAGCTAATTTTTTTGAATTTTTAGTAGAGACAGGGTTTTGTCATGTGGGCTATGCCAGTCTCGAACTCCTGGCCTCAAGTGATCCACCCATCTCGGGCTCCCAGAGTGCTGGGATTACAGGCATGAGCCACCGCGCCCAGCCAGAGTGTAGTGTTCTTTGTGCTATTTCTGTCTGAGCAACTTTTTGTAAGTTTAGAATTATTTCCAAATAAAAAGTTAAAAGGAAGAGACTTCAGGGCCCCGTCCCGGCCCCACCCACCTGCCTCCCGGGGGATTCCTCGGATTCCTCCCTCCCCACCTCCTCCCCTCCCCTGGTGCTCCAGCTGCTCTGGCCTTCCTCCTGCTCCTGGGTCCCACACTCTAGGGTCTTTGCCTGTGACGTTCCCTCCACCTGGGTTGCTGTTCCTGCAGAGACCAGCAGATCTCAGCAAACTGTCACTTCATTAGAGAGGTGTCACTTCCTGACCACCCATTTAAGACAGAATCTCTCCCTGTCGCACCTGTTTTGTTTCCTAGGTTCTTTCCCTTACGACATCTTTTTTATTTCACGGTTCTTGTTTTAATACATTTGTTTGTTTGTCTGTCCCACTCTGCTGTAAAACTCCAAGAAGGCAGAGCCACGCCTGTTTTGTTCATGGTGGTATTCCCAGCACCTAGGAGAGTGCCCAGGTCAACTCTCAATTAAAATCTGTGGATGAACGAATGATTGTTACTTACTCAGGAGCACCCAGGTGTGCCAGCTGAACGGTGATCCAGGAGCCCAGGTGGGATTTCACAGCCTGTTTCCCTCCAGGCTTCCCTGGAGGCCGAGGCCATAGGCCCCTCAGCTAGCAGCTACCTGGAGGAGGCTTAGGGGGCTTGGCACACTGAAGGGCAGGGGTACAAGCTAATGTGGAAGAGCTGTGGGTTCTGGCCAGGGTGGTGCTCTGAGCTTTCTCTGAGTTTAGCTTCGGTGCCGAGTTTACATGAACAAACGCACCTCGGCTTGGGTTTCTCAATGTGCAGCTGATTTCATGTGTCCTCATGTTGCAGCTTTATCACATTTCCACTGTCGTGGAGGAAACTGAGCTTATGTATGTGAAGCACCATAAATGGTATTATGGTTATTCTGGGAAGAACTGGTGGGTGACAGACTGGAAGAGAGGTGTGAAAGAGAGGGAGGCGACAGATTCAGATGACAATTCCAGAAGCAGTTGACAGGTGACAGGATGGCCGTGCTGTTGACAAACAGAAAGCAGTGGGAGGAGGTGGCTGTGCCCCAGGGAGGTGGTGGGTCTGGCCTGGTAAATGTGAGAAGACCAGGGGGTGAGGGCTGGGCTGGTGAGAGGCGGGGGAGGAGAAGTGGAGCCTGGCTGTGGGGACTTGGAGCTGGGGTCTAAGATTGGGCAGCTCTGCTGATAGAGCTGTGAGTTGCCATGTGGGAATGAAGGGGCAGAGCAACACAAGCCAAGAACTGGCTGTGCCTTGGAGCTAACAGAGAAGATGAGGAAGGAGGGGCAGGAAGGTAGGAGGAGCCCCTGGGAAAAGACAGCATCACCACATATGGGGCTTTCGCACCGCACGAGGGGTGTCCGCTGCCTGTTATTTAGTGAAGCTGTGTGGCAGGGGTGAGGCTGAAGAGGACCAAGGGAGCCACTGGGTTTCAGGGCTGCCGTAGCCTCTGTGTGGCCTCTGCGTGGCAGTCCTCACCTTCCAGGTCCTTCCTCCCTGCCTGTCCCTTCTCACCCATTCTCTGTCTTCTCCCTGCTGTGCAGGGTGCCTTTTTCACCCTGTCTGGGCTGTCTCCTTTTTTCTCTCCCTTTCATCAGGAACAGATACCCACTTCCTTCTCCTTGGGAACCTCCACAGTTCGTCCTCTTGCTTCCTGTCTCTTTATCTGTCAAACTGGTCTCAATTCAGTATCACAATGTATCCATTTATGAATTTCTGATTTATAAAGTTTGATGCTACCTAAAATGATTTTTAGGCTGGGCGCAGTGGCTTACACCTGTAATCCCAGCACTTTGGGAGGCCAAGGCGGCTGGATCACTTGAGGTCAGGAGTTTGAGACCAGTTTGGCCAACATGGGGAAACCCCCTGCTCTGCTAAAAATACAAAAATTAGCCAGGCGTGGTGGTGCCCACCTGTAATCCCAGCTACTCGACAGGCAGAGGCAGGAGAATCGCTTGAACCCAGGAGGCGGAGATTGCAGAGAGCCTAGATCACCACTGCACTCCAGCCTGGGCAACAGAGTAAGTGAGACTCTGCCTCAAAAAAATTTAAAAAAAAATTTTTTTTTAAGATTTTTAATAGTGATTTGAGGGTCCAAACTGTATTGACCGTCAGCCAAGGCCAGAACCTCTCAGATCCACAGTTTCTTTGTCGGTCAGATGGGAGAGAGTAGCAGCGCTTGGCCAGTGTTCACGTTACAGCGCTTGGCCAGCGCTGTGACTCACATATACTGGGAATAACCCAATCAGAGCCCTGGGAGGAGGCAGCCGGCTCTTCAGCAACTGCCCGATCATGTTAGTTATTATTTCTCTTTTTCTCTTTCCAGACTGACAAGGTTGCATTGGCTTGGATCAGCAGGATGACCCTCAGTCCCGCTCCCCAGCTTCAGTGACTCCAGCTGTCCTGCCCAGAACCGGCATCCTCAACCTGGAGGTCCCTGATGGAGCAGGGCTGGCACTCTGGCCTCCAGATGGCACCAGCACCCAGCTGTTCTCCCCTTCACTCCCAGCCCCCAGCCCATTCCAGCGCCTGCTGCTTCCCTCTGTAGGCGAGCCCCCACCAAGTTGGCTGAGTCTACAGGAACACAGTGTCCTGCATGAATGAGCCTCAGCAGGCCTCCCCTCTGCAGGCCTCCCCCTGTGCATCAGCACCAGAAGGATGGCATCCTCCAGGGACTAGGTGCGACCCTTCCCCATCCCATTGCCAGCCCAGCCTATTTTCTTTGAGACCTACTGGCCAGTTCCCCACTTCCCCCAAGACTCCATGCCCACCTCTTCCACATCAACACTGCAACATCTCCTGGGCAGATGGTCAGGGGCAGTGGTGCCACAGAAGACCCTGGAAAGCAGGTAGGCCCTGGGGCAGGGGGCTCGGCTCTGACCCTGCCTGTGTCACCGGCTGCCTGAGAGTGTCCAGCTCCTCTCGAACCTTCATTACCCCCGTCATAAAATGGAAATTGTAAATGCCCCACCTGACAGGACAGGCAAAAAGCATTTTGTGATTGGGAAGTGCACAAAAGAATTTAAATGCTATAAAAGTTCCAACTAGTATTCAAGGAGACATGTCTCCACCACGTCTCTAACGAGGTGCTGATACTTACACACCCTCCGGAAGGAGTGCTTGCTCCCTTCTGGGAACCCCAATACCTGCATTTACTGTCCTCTCCTTTTATGCCAGGAGATGTGTGCCCACCAGTCACCTGTCATCTTGGATCTTCTTAGATATTCTGTACTTTTTTTTTTTTTTTTGAGATGGAGTTTCACTCTTATTGCCCAGGCTGGAGTGCAATGGCGCCATCCCGGCTGACTGCAACCTCCACCTCCCGGGTTCAAGTAATTCTCCTGCATCCCTCCCGAGTAGCTGGGATTATAGGCATTCACCACCACACCCAGCTAATTCTGTATTTTTTTAGTAGAGATGAGGTTTCTCCATGTTGGTCAAGCTGGTCTCAAACTCCCAACCTCAGGCGATCCGCCCTCCTTGGCCTCCCAAAGTTCTGGGATTACAGCATGAGCCACCGCGCCTGACCAATCCTGTACTTTAAATAACATTTGTACCCTAAGATGGCCACTCTAAGGCTCACAGTGGTGAGGTGGTTGGCTCCTTCATGCAGTGGTGCACCTAAACGGATCTGTTGAATTCTGAAGTTCCATGGCCTTCTGCCTGTGGGTGAGCTCCCTTTATCAAAGGGAGCCTGCTTTGGCCTCATGACACAGTCCTTTAGGTGTCTGAAGCCAGAGCTTCCTCCTTCCTGGGTCAGCTCCTGAAATGTGTCCCACTCCTCCCTTGGTCTTTCAGGGAGTTCCTGGAGTCCAGGCCCTGGCAGCTCCTCCTTGGGCCAGCCTCCCTGAAGCCACTGCCCTCAGCAGTTCACCCAGGCCCTGGAGCCCCAGTCTGCAGGGAAGCCACATGCTCATCAGCCACAGCCACTGCCGCACCTTGGGCCTCCGAGCACTGCCAGGGTGAGTCCCCGGCTGGCTCTGTGCCTGCTGTCTGCTGTGGGACCCATGCCTGGGGAGCTACAATCAGGCCAAGCCAGTTGGACCTGGGCTCCTCCGGAAACTGGAGATGGCCAGCAGGCTTCACAAACCCCCTGGGTAGAAACAAGGCCTGCACAGCTGCTGACGGCCTGGAGCCAGGAACAGGGAAGGCACCTCAGGTCCAGCCCTTACCCTAATCCCCCAGGAATCACCTCGCTGCCCAGGAACTCAGCTTGGTGACCCACATGGGCAGGAAGCCTTGTGCCCTCTGACTCCTAACCACAGCCACCGTGAGTGGAGCCAGGGAAAGGGGAAGGTTGAGATCAGGGAGAGTGGTCAGGGACTGGGGGCTCAGACCCCAGGGCTGCTCCTTTCCGGCCTTAGTTTCCTCATCTGTATAATGGGGGTCATCACAGTGCCTCCCTCACAGGTGGTGGTGATGAAAGGAGAGAGTGCATGTGTGATTGGACAGGCGATGCTCTCTTGCCAAGATTCTTTCCCTACACCTCTCTCTTCTGTCGCTTCCTGCTCCAGTGGCCAAGACCTCTCCAGGAGAACTAGCAAGGGAAACTCAAGGCCCCCCTTAATGCTGGGTCTCTCTCCCCACTTCTATCCTTCCCCATCCCTTTCACAAACCCTACTCTTGGGCCACACAGAACCACTATCCCTCCTCAAAACACTACCTGCTTTTGGTGGCCCTCTTGGCTGCTCAGCTTCTCCCCTCCTCACCATCCACCGCTTCCCAGGAAACTGTCACAGATCTCTTCTTCCCAGAGCACTTGGCCTCACTGAGGCCCTGGGTACCAGGGTGCCCTTCTCTATTCCCAGAAAGCCTGAGGACAGAGACCCAGGATATTCAACTTGTTTATCCAGAGTGACCATATGGCTTATCCCTGGGTCCCAGCAAACTACTACCAGCACCACCTTCACTCTCAGAGGTGTCCTCATTGGGATGATAAATTACATGATCACACTACAGATAAGTGCTTGTTGCATGAATACGTGAAGGTGGCATGTGAAAGGCGGGGAGGAGGGCGAGTGTGGCGGGAGAAGGATAAGCGCTGGGGAGATGTAAAGACTACTGGTGAGGTCTGCAGCTCCTGTTACAGGATCTCTTTTTTTTTGAAAGGGAGATAGGAATCCACTCTGTCACCTAGGCTGGAGTACAGTGGTGCTGTCATAGCTCACTGTAGCCTCACACTCCTGAGCTCAAGTGATCCTCCCACCTCAGCCTCCCAAAGTGTGCTGGGATTACAGGTGTGAGCCACCACATCCAGCCTATTTAAGCTCTTTTTTTTTCCTTCTTTTTTTTTTTGAGATGGAGTCTTACTCTGTCACCAGGCTGGAGTGCAGTGGTGTGATGTTGGCTCACTGCAACCTCCCCCTCCTGGGTTCAAGCGATTCTCCTGCCTCAGCCTCCTGAGTAGCTGGGACTACAGTTGCGAGCCACCACACCTGGCTAATATTTTGTATTTTAGTAGAGATGAGGTTTCACCGTGTTGGCCAGGGTAGTCTCTATCTCCTGACCTCGTGCTGGGATTACAGGCATGAACCACCACGCCTGGCCCTATTTAAGGTCTTGAGGTCCTCCATTGCCCAGACATATGGGGGACCTATGAATGCCCATGGGGGGGCCTTGTCCCTTATGCTCTGGGGTCAAGCGGTCAACAAGAGTGGGAGGGCAGTGAGAGGAATAGGCAAAGGAGGGCCTTAAGCTTGCCTGGCCCACTGTTTGCTGGTAGGTCCCTGACTGAGGAGAGGAAAGGCAGGCAATGTGAATGGCGGATTCAAAGCCTGAATCCCAAGGTTGCAGCTGTCAAGGTATCTTTTAAAACAGCCCTACATGGAGCTCAGGAGAGGCTGTGGTCTTGCCAGTAGGGGGCGCAGCCCTTGTTTGTTGCTTCCCTTCTTCTAGGCACCATGTAACCATTCACGCAGCTCCTGATAGCCCTAACTTTTTGGCAGCCACTTAATATGGCTGGCTCCCATCAAGCCTGCAGCCCGCAAACTCAGGCTTTTTTCATGCAGGCTGCTGTTCTGAACATGTGCGGTTGTTATCCTTGAGATAGAGAATCCCCTGTTGCCGAGAGTGTCTAAGTCATGGAGGAAACACCAGTTGATACAGCGGCTTTAGGGTCCCTTCCAAAACTCACAGTCAGTGACTCCATGAACACCACCAGCTAGCGTAATTGTTGTTGGCTGATGGCGGATGGAGTGGAAAATCAGAAAGGGCCAGGGCATGGGAAGAGCCCTGGGCTAGGAGTCTGGAGGTCGGGCAGCTCTGAGTGACCTTGGCTAGCTCTCCCTGCTCCTGAGTCCTAGGGCACCTGTGTTTAGGGCCCTTGTAGCAATTGTTCCATTATGAAGTGAGGATCCTTCCCCAGCTCTGTGCCACAACCTCACCCTCACCCCTGTGAGGGAGGCCCTACCATCATCCTCATTCTCTAGAGGAGGAAATTGAGGTTTAGGAAGGTTGACATTTGCCCGAGGCCACCCAGCTGGTTTACAGCAGAGCCAGGAGAGAAAGAGAGGCCTGTGATGGCAAGGTCATGCTCTTAACCACAGCACAGCCCACACCAGAAAATTCAGGGGCGCTTGTTTTCCCTCTCCAAGCCCAAAGGGGATGGGCATCCTGGCCTCCTGGCCCCCCACTGTCCCCACAACACCTCTGCCTGCAGCAGGGCCAGCCAGCCACTGAGCCATGGCTGTGGCCCTCGGCATGGAACCTACCCCCTTATTTGTAGTATAGGCTCCATGGACAGGAGCCATGTCACGCACCAATTGGTAATGGAGTGAGAGGACTCGGGTCTTTTTAGGGTACCAAGCAGGTCTCTCTGGCAGGGATGTTGGGGGCATCTGACAACTGGGAGGGCGGTCAAATAAAAACCTCACCCTGGTGTTTTCCCTGCTAGTCTGTGTTTTGAGATGGAGTGTTGCTCTGTGGCCCAGGCTGGAGTGCAGTGGGGTGATCTCAGCTCACTGCAACCTCCGCCTCCCAGGTTCAAGCGATTCTCCTGTCTCAGCTTCCAGAGTAGCTGGGATTACAGGCGCACGCTGCCACACCCGGCTGATTTTTTGTATTTTAGTTGAGATGGGGTTTCACCTTGTTGGCCAGGCTGATCTTGAACTCCTGAGCTCAGGCAATCCACCCTCCTCGACCTCCCAAAGTGATGGGATGACAGGCATGAGCCGCCGCGCCCGGCCCCCTGCTAGTTTTTCACGGGGAAAAGGAGTTTGTTCCCACTCCTGTCCTGCCACAGGATCATACTCATTTATAGCCTTTTTACTCCTGCAGAGGCTGGAGAGCTGGGGGGCCCGCGGCAGGTGGGGAGCTGCGCGGAGAGGCCTCGGGGGCCTGTGGGCGGCGGGACTTACTCGGGTAGCGATAGTAGAATTCGTTCTCCTGGTCGCTGAGGTTCCTGTGCGCCCTCCCCGTCCACCAGTGGGCGTCGGCCTGGAAGTCGTAGCGCACGAACACCCCGAAGAGAACCACCATAGCCCCCTGCAGGAGCAGGCAGGTGAGCGGCAGCCGCCAGCGGAGGTTGGTGTTCCAGGCCATGCTGAGGGATGCGGGGCTGGGCGGGTGCTCGGAGCCCGGCGGGGCTTTTGAGACCTGGGCAGGGGGCGGAGCGGCCGCGTAGGGCACTGAGCTGCGGACCGGGGAACCGCCCGCGCATTCGCCCGATGGTGGTGGGGCGGGGCGGAGGAGGGTGGGGAATACGAGCCGAGGGCCCCGGAAGATCCCCGAGTCCTGCTGGGGGACAGCTGCAGGAGCGGGGTCCGATAAGGCAGCGGGCAGGGGGAATCCGGGAGCCCCAACTTCTGTGTGGCCGTTCACCCTGGGGCCTTTCTCCTTTCGTACTGCTGAACAGAGAAAAGGGGATCATTGGCCTCCCAGGGAGATCAGAATGAAGGAATTCCCAGACCTAAGCATCATCATCACCATCATCATCATCTGCATCAACATCTGTCCTTTCTTTTTCTGATTATGAAATTCACACAGTGCATGTGGAAAACAAGTAATATCTGGGACGGAGCACCCTGGGAGACAGGCAGCTCTCTGCGATGTGCTACCAGGCTTGACCCTGGAACAGAAAGACGATGTGAATGGGAAAACTGGTAAAATCCAAAGAGAGCCTGAAAATTCCCAGGTTGGTTTCTTAGTTGGGACAAATGTGCCATGGTTATGTAAAATGTTAACCGTATGGAAAACTGGGTAAGGGCTATGTGGGAGCTGTCTGCCACTTTTCTGTAAATCTAAAATTATTAAAAAATACAAGGGTATTATGGGAAAAAATGTATAAACTATTGTAAAAAGTTTAAGAGTTTTTCACAAGTTCATTAGTCTATGATCAGGAACTGTCTTTTGGTTAAAATCTGTGATCTTGACATGAGTTAACCATAATATTTAGGTAAAATCTATGCTTAGTCTGTATATTGTCAAAATAAATTTGATTTTCTAATTTTTCGTTAAAAATACAGAGATATTATAGAGATTTTTGGAAAATACAGAAAAACACAAAAGAAAGTGAACACCATCTGTAATTCCACCCCCTAGAGGCAATACTGTATTTTGGTGAATGTAGGCTAGTGTTTTTTTTAGCTCATTGAAGACGGGCTGGGCTGGGGGGAGTGTTTCATTTATAGCCTTTTTTACTCCTTTAATATTTTGTAGTGGCTGGGCACGGTGGCTCACACCTATAATCCCAGCACTTTGGGAGGCCGAGGCAGGTGGATCACGAGGTCAAGAGATCGAGACCATCCTGGTCTACAAGGTGAAACCCCGTCTCTACTAAAAATACAAAAATTAGTTGGGCATGGTGGCACGCGCCTGTAGTCCCAGCTACTTGGGAGGCTGAGGCAGGAGAATTGCTTGAACCCAGGAGGCAGAGGTTGTAGTGAGCCAAGATCACACCATTGCACTCCAGCCTGGGTAACGAGCAAAACTGTCTCAAAAAAAAAAAAAAAAGATATTTTGTAAATATCTTCCCATATTATTCTTCTGTAACTTTTTTTTTTTTTTTTTTTTTTTTTTTTTTTAGACAGGGTCTTGCTCTGATGCCCAGGCTGGAGTGCAGTGGCTTGATCATGGCTCACTACATTCTTGATCTCCTGGGCTCAAGCAGTTCTCCCACCTCAGCCTCCCAAGTAACTGAAACCACAGCCATGTACCACCACGCCCAGCTAATTTTTTATTAGTTTTTTTTGTAGAGGTGGGGTCTCCCTATGTTGCCCAGGGTGGTCTTAAGCTTCTGGGCTCGTGACCCTTCCATCTCAGCCTCTCAAAGTGCTGGGATTACAGGTGTGAGCTACCACACCCAGCCCGATGCAGCATCACTTTTAATAGCAGGATATACTGTGTTTTTTCTAGACAATCCCCTAGTGTTAGGTGATGAGCGATGAGGTCATTTTTATTTGTTTAGTGTTACAAAGAATGCTGTCATGAACATCCAGGTATGTAAGTCTTTGCACAACTTTCTGTGAATTCCTAGAGGCAGAGTTGTTTTGATACGTACCTCTAGATTTTCTCCCGGAAAGATTTTACCAAACAAAGCATGCACCCTATGAGTCAAGTGTCAGTGACTTTTCCCATGCACTCTTGCCAATGCTGGCTTTAAAAATACTTTGCCAGTTGAAATCCCAGATTTGTAAAAGCCACTAAGCCATGTATAACACCTGAGGCTTATCGGGGTGCTTGGAAGTTGAGTATGGCCACACCGTGCCAGTGTGGGGTACCAAGATATTTCCACTCCCTTGGCAAAGAAACAGTCAGACGCTGCATAAGCAATATCAGCAATAGGGACCATGTATTAAGTTTCTGCAGTTGCCAGATTCTTTAGCAATATTTGTTAATTCTCAACTAACCACTTGCGAAGTGTTGGGCATCTGCAGAAACTTAATACATGGTCCCTGTTGCTGATATCCTAGGTGTATCTTACAGTTGAAAAGCATGAGTAAAAGATTGGCTAAAGAACTCGCTGGAGATTCAAACCCTAGACTGTCCAATTTCAAAGGCTATAGTCTTTCCACTGTGCCATTCTGCCCATCCCCTCTGGAAGGAGCTAGAAGGAGGGTTTGACTTCAGCCGTGCGTATTCACTGCTGGGGAGAAAACCATCTACGTACAGGGCAATGGGGATAAGTGCAGGGAGGGAGACAAGGGCTGGGATGAGGGGAGCTGCTGCAAGATTCACAGGCATCTACAGGAGTGGTGCATTTGTGGGATAGAGGGCAGTGAGTGGCGTGGTTCCTGAAGCCCAGCCTGGGAGGAGGCAGGTGGAAGGCTTGCTTTAAGGATAGGGGAGCTGGGGAGTCATGCTCATTGTAAGAACTGCGCCCATCCAGTCTAACCCAGACCTCCTCCAGAGTCCATTAGCACACCTGTGGTGCTGGAACCCAGGGGGCCCTCTTTGGGGGATTCCTTCCTGGGGCAGGGCACAGGGTCCAGGAGGGAGATGCTGACTGGGACCCCTGAAGAGGCTTCAGTGGGACAGACCTGGAGCCACAGCCAATCACAGTCACCCTCCCCACCCCCTACAGCCAGCACGAGAAGGCCGTTTGCCCTTGACCTTCCAATTTAGTAGACTAAATGTACAAATGAGGGGCTTCAGACTACCAAGAGGATACAAGGTTGAAGGGAGACACTGTTATCACATGGCTTTTTTCTCGGGTTACATTTAAACCCATATAGGTCATCATGAATTAACATTCAAAAACAAATCCCGGCGGGCGCAGTGGCTCACGCCTGTAATCCCAGCACTTTGGGAGGCCGAGGCAGACAGATCACTTGAGGTCAGGAGTTTGAGACCAACCTGGCCAACATGGTGAAACCCTGTCTCTACTGAAAATACAAAAATTAGCCGGGTGTAGTGGCAGGCACCTGTAATCCCAGCTACTCGGGAGGCTGAGGCAGGAGACTCGCTTGAACCCAGGAGGTGGAGGTTGCAGTGAACCGAGATTGCGCCACTGCACTCCAGCCTGGGCGACAGAAAAGAAACAAATCCTGTCATTGTCTTATAATGGCAAGTATAGTTTACAGTTACACTGCATTTCTTTTTTTTAGTATTAAAAGTATTATTTATTTATAGTATATCAGCATACCATAGCATTTAACCTGTTATGGTATTTCTCCTTCCGGTTTATTCCAGGAAGCTGCTAGGCCTCTCTTGACCCCAGTGAACCCCAGCAACCACCAACCAAGGAATGGGCCTGAGGAGCGTCTCCCAGTCCAGAAGTCTTCTCTTTATCCCCATTTCTGTGGCAGGAGCAACTGTGAGAGCCTCCACAGCCTGGGGGCCTGGGGGGGTGTGACTCCTGCAGAGTAGTGGGGCAGAGGCACTGAAGTTCCTGGTTTCACTTTTGCTTCTTAAGTAGTTGTGTGACTCCGGGCAAATGTTAACCTCTCTGAGCCTCCACTCTGTCATCTGTAATGTCGAGACAGTTATGTCCCCCGGGCTCTCAGTGAGACTTATTCTGCGTATTGGGACTACAGGTCTGTGCCACCACGCCCACCTAATGTGTTTTGTATTTTTCATAGAGGTGGGGTTTTACTGTATTGCCCAGGCTGGTCTCAAACTTCTGGGCTCAAGTGATCCTTCCACCTCGGCCTCCCAAAGTGCTGGGATTATAGATGTGAGCCACTTCACCTGCTGGTGAGACTTACTCTGAGATACAGCACAGTGAGGAGCCCAGCACAGTACCTGGTGTGTGGCATTCCCTCAGTACCTGTTCATTTTTTTCCTAGTGCCTGGAACAATTAAAAAGTATGTGCCGCTTGAGATTCTCCAGAGAAAGATAATCAAGCTTGAGCAATTGAGGTAGGCAAGTGTGGGGTGGTGGAAGGGTTCCTGGCCTGGTCTGGGTCCAGTTTTTGTCTCCCTCTGCTGGTGATCTCACGTAAATTCTTAGCCTCTCTGGGCTTGCGTCCTCACCTGTAAGATGAAGGCTGTGGATGGGTCATTTCCAAAGCCTCTTCTAGCTGCAAAGTGCATCCCTGTGGAAAGGAGCTATCCCCTCTGTTGCTTTTCCTTACGCACTTGCAGCCTCCTCTCTGGTTGGACAAGCTGAGGGCATTGTTTCACAGTCTCTTGCAGCCCTTCCAGGACCCAAGTCACCCAGGAAAGGCCTCACCCTTGATCCTGGAGTGACCTCAACCACATCCCATGTCTCATCCTGTGTGGGGTTTGCCGGCTGCCCTCTGCTGCTTCCTTAGCCTCTCCTCCCAGCATGCCCTCTTCCTCTTTCCACATCCTCCTCTCTTTCCCACAACCAGCATCCTCCCAGCCACCTCAATCATGGCACCTGACCCTGTGAGTTCCTGCCATCCTAGTGCCCCTGCATAATATTTAAGAAGGAGGTGAGACCACAGCAGCAACTGCTAACACAGCTCTGCAGGCTCTGCAGGCCCAGTTACCGGAGGTCCAAGTTGAAAGGTGGGCTAGGACAGGAGCTTTTGGGATGAGATGGACGGGGAGCACACCACCCTCTGAAGTCATTCATTCCTGAGGGAGGCCATGAACTCTGTTAAGACAGGGGTAACATCTGATTGATGTCTGTGTGCGGCACAGAAGAGGCACTTGGGGAGTGTTCTGGAAGGATGGAGGATGGAATGAGTAATATTCTTTGAGCACCTAGTGTGTGCCGGCCACTGTTCTGGGTGCTGAGACATGGCAGTGAACAAATGAAGCCACAATCCCGGTCCTGATGGAGCTAGCATTCTAGAAGGGTGGGGAAGGTTGGTGAACAACCTGGTAGTATGTACTTTACTTATCTACTGTGTTTCACAATAGACAGGCAAAGCAGACAGCGTGTGGGAAGGTGCTATGTTCAGGGCAGAGGGGAGGAAAGTGGGAGAGAGGGGGCCAGGAGTACAATGTACACTGAGGGGCCAAGGAAGGCCCCACTGAGGGAGGCAGGGAAATTGGTCCTTCTGCACATGCCCCAGTCCCACCCCACAGCATTTTAATGTGACTGCCCTTTTCTTTTTTCTTTTCTCCTCTTTTTTTGAGACTGACTCTTCTTTTCTTTTTTTGAGACTCACTCTGTCACCAGGCTGGACTGTATTGGCATGATCTCAGCTCACTGCAACCTCCACCTCCCTGGTTCAAGCGATTCTCCTGCCTCAGCCTCCTGAGTAGCTGGGACTACAGGCATCCATCATCATGCCTGGCTAATTTTTGTATTTTTGTAGAGATAAGGTTTCCCCATGTTGGCCAGGCTGGTCTTGAACTCCTGACCTCAGGTGATCCACATGCCTCAGCCTCCCAAAGTGATGGGATTACAGGCATGAGCCACCACGCCCAGCTGTGACTGTCCTTTTCTGAACACCCCAGGCAGCTGTCCGCTTCCTCGACTGCCCTTGATCTTGGTGTGGGCCAAGTTCTCAGTTTCTCCCCTAGGTGGCCAGCCATTTTATTTCTGGTGCTCCTAGGAGGAAAAATGGCCGCTCTTACAGAAGCCTAGGAAAAATGTCTCCTTCCAGAACATTTTGTCTCCAGTTCACATAAGGCATGGCCAGCAGCCCGCCCGCCGACCTCAGGCCACGCCCAGGTGCGCTGTGGAATGCCTGTCCTTGTGGGTAAGGGGGGCTGGGGCTGGAGGGGCTTGATGAGCTGGCAGGAGGGTGGAGGTCTCTCTCCCACTCGCCCTTTCCCAGCCTCCACATCATGCCATTGTTTCTTCCTCGCCCTTCAGCCCTTCTCATATCTGTCTGTGGTGTCTTCCTACATTAGAAAACGTCAGCACTCCAGGGCAAGGACACCTAGAAGAGACCCTATCTTGCAGTTGTTGGCCACTGTTTTTCCAAGTGAATGAATGGATGAGTGGATTCTTTCAGTTCATTCAGCTGTTTAAAACATGTATAGAGCAACCACTGCACACAGCTCCGTATCAGGCCAAGTAGCGTGCAAGCTCCCCCACCCCGCAAGATTTGCACTATTGAAGAGGAGGTACAAGTTTTCCCCACTGGTTAAGGCAGAATGAGCACTTTCCTGTGTAGCTAAGGAGAGCTTGATGGGTCCAGGCATAATCAGGATGGACTTCATGGAAGAGGTGAACTTTGATCTAGGATTTGCAGGGCAGGTGACAGGTAAACCTTCACCCTCTGCTCTTTAGCTTTTCTTGTCTCATGTACTCCCGGACACATGATTCCAGGTTACCTCCCTCTACCCACCCCAGCTTGGTACTTTAGTGGACAACCCAGAGGTGGAATTCTTGGCTTGTTTTCTGAGACCAGAGTTTAAGAAACCTGCTGCTCATGTCTATCAGGCTAGGCAGGGGTTTTCATAAGGAACCAGCCTCTTCCTCCTAAAATGTCTGTGCCTTGACAAGCAGGGATGACTGGCGGCTGGGACAGGATGGTTCTCTCCCCAGCAGGGGAGAGGCAGGGTGCGGCAGCCACGTTGGCAGGCAGGGAGGTGGATTTTGAGGCATAGGTGATTCAGACTGTCTTCCAGGCGAGGTGGAGTCTCCCCTGCACTGGTGTGGCCGTGTTGGAGGCATGCTGCTGAGACTGACACTGCTGTCACCTTTCTCTCTACTCATCCCTCTTGATGGATGACTATTGGCTTCCTTGACAGCTTCGGCCTTGGTCCCACAAGCAGCCCGAGGCTGTGGCAAGACACTGGCCCAGGTCGCAGAAGTTCTTGGGGCTGGTCCCAGTTTCACAGATTTTGTCAGTACGCACCCCCTCTCTGGGCCTGATCTGCAAATGAGTACCTCCGTGTCTGCACTGCTCAGCTTTCACTTTGCTGTGATGTTTGAAGGAGACCATGCAGCTTGGTGATCAGCACAATGACCCAGAGGCTCTAAGAGGCCAGAGCTCCAGTCCCAGCCCTGCCACTTCCTAGCCAGGTGACCCTGGGCCAGCTGTTTAACTCCTCTGGGACTTGGTTTCCCCACCTATACAAGGGAGACAGGAGTTCCTGGGATGACTCTAATACATAACGATACTTTTAACCCCAAGCCTGGTAGGATGTACTTGATGGCAGATCTTGTTATTTGCCACTAAAAATGAATGGGGGCCAAGCACAGTGGCTCAGGCCTGTAATCCCAGCACTTTCAGAGGCTGACACAAGGGATTGCTTGACCCCAGGAGTTCAAGACCAACCTAGGCAACATGGTGAAACCCCATCTTGAAAAAAATAAAGAGAGAAAGAAGGAAAAGAAAGAAAAAGAAAGCGAGGAAGGAAGGAGGGAGGGAGGGAGGGAGGGAAGAAAAGAGAAAGAGAGAGAAAAGAAATCAATGAGAAAATCTTCTGTAAATTGAAAAATGTCACAAATATAATTGGTGCTGCTTCTATGATGGTGGGTAATGGCGTTCCCCTCTGGTGCTCTCTGAAAAATCTGCAAGGGCAGGGCCCAGGAGAGGGAGTCCTACACCCTCCCCAGAGTTGGGAGTGGGATTAGGGCTGAGGGAAGGGGTTAAGGGCCCTGGGAAGGAGCTCTTGACGTGTCTCCCATCACCTTCAGTCCCTCAAAGCCACAGACTGTGCTGTCTCCCCATACTCATGGGGAGATCTTCAGTGTAGGTGGCTTGTGGAGTGAGGGGAAGGGGTGTATGTCTCTCTGCAAAACTTTCTTCCTTGACAATTTAAGGGATTGAAAGTAAGAACCGCAACAGTGGGCAGCCGGACATCACGTGCTGCTCCTTGATGAGCTGCTCCAAGAAGGACACAATCCCAATCGTGCTGTTCCTACCGAAGATGCGTACCCGGAATTTACTCATGCAGAAGCAGCAGACAAACCCAAACTGAAGGGTATTCTGCAACACAACTGGTCTGGAGTCTTAAAAAGAAAGGGAGGTGTCATGAATGTCAAAAGAAAATAAAGATAAAAAACGAGGAGGGCAACGCTTGTAGGTGAAAGAGACATGACAAATCCATGAAATGCTTTGATTGATGCTTAATTGGCTCCCGGATCAAAACAAAAACCTTAAAAAAAAACACTAGTGGTACAACTGAGGAAAATGAAGTAAGAGTGGTGTGTTAACTGATGGGACTTATTAATGCAAAGTGTTTTGAGGGCCATCGTGGTGCTGTAGTTATGTGGGAGTCTGTTTTTGTTCCTGGGAGATGCCTGCTTTAGAGGTAAAATGTCATATGTCCCCAAAACACAGAAACATATATCCTGAGAGAAACAAAACAAAAGTGGTGAATCCAGGGGAAGGGCTTATGCAACTTCATTGTACGTTTTTGCAACTTTTCTGCTGGCTTGAAAATCTGTGAAACAGGCCGGGTGCGGTGGCTCACGCCTGTAATCCCAGCACTTTGGGAGGCCCAGGCAGGCGGATCATGAGGTCAAGAGATCAAGACCATCCTGGCCAACATGGTGAAACCCCATCTCTACTAAAAATACAAAAATTAGCTGGTCATGGTGGCGGGCGCCTGTAGTCCCAGCTACTTGGGAGGCTGAGGCAGGAGAATTGTTTGAACCCAGGAGGTAGAGGTTGCAGTGAGCCGAGACTGTGCCACTGCACTACAGCTTGGTGCCTGGTGACAGAGCAAGACTCTGTTGCAAAAAAAAAAAAGAAAAGAAAATTTGTAAAACAAAAAAAAGTTGGGAGAATAGCCCCTGGAAGGATGTCAGCTGGAGTCTCTGATATCTACTAGAAAACATCTGTCCACCCAAGGCGTGGAGCAGAGGCCAAAGTCAGAGGCCCAAGGGGAGTCCCACACACCCTCTGCCTAATTACAGTTCCAACGCTGTGGGGCTTTCTGTGTTTTGTACAGCACAGGGTGAGCACATACGCTCAGCACCTACCCCATCCCTGGCACCGTATGAGCACCAAGACATCAATATGTGACCTCTGCTCTTACAG